CTGATTTCCTGCAACAGGTCAGGCTGGTCTTGAACTCCTGACCTCAAGTTATCCACCTCCCTCAGCTTCCCAAAGTACTGAGATTACAGATGTGAGGCACCACACCCAGCCTCCCCAGATTTTTATAATGCCAAATCATCATAAGATATAGAAAAGATAAAAGAATGATTGAAACAAGACTTCACCTCTGGATGGGAGGAGCAGCAGAGTCTCATTGTCATGGGCTTGCACATGGGATGTGGAGGCAGGAGTATGTTGCCATTAAACAGCTCCCCAACTCCCAGGAACCTGGCTGGTATTGAACAGCTATACTAGTCATGAGTGCAACTCCAGAGAACAGCTGCAGCTCCTGACCCTTGGTCCTATTGTCATGAGGTCTGGCCATATTTCATTTCCTGCCCTTGCATTTCATGATCTTTGGGAACTTTGTAAGAACCTCTCCCAACTACTGCACTAGTTGTAGGCCTTTCTCTTATAACTAAAAATTCCTTTTCTAGAACACTCTTCAAGTCTGCAGTGTTTGCTATAGCTTTGAAATTGATTTTTAACTCACATTCCTGATTTCAAACCTGCACTCTAAATTTACACCCTACTGGAATTATCCACCACTTGAAATAGAATTTATACTTTATTCCTCAACCTAAGGAAAGCCAAGGAATACAAAGGGATGCCAGCATCATTACTACCTGAGAAAGCTGACTTTGCCAAGTATTGGTACATGTCATGGGTAATTGCTGGAAGGAGACTTAGTTCAACTGCCTTAAGGCAAAGTCTTTTATGAACTGATTTCTACTTTGGAAAGCATGGAAGCAATTGCTTTATTTACTCCCATGAGAGCAGTGGCTATTTGTGACTAGAATGGATCCTATCCTAACCAGCCTACTGGCCTTTCCATTGATTCTTGTTTCTCCTTTTATTTCCATTTTCCTCTCCATCCTGCTATTCCTACTAATCACCACCCAGAATGGCTGCAACAATCCTCTCATTGACCTGCCTACTCCTGGGCCTCTATGGTCCATTCTCCACATGTGCCAACCAGTGCATATGCCTAAACTCCACTAATTATATCACAATCTTATCTTAGACTTTCAATGGCTACAAAACATTGCTCCTCAGTTAAAGTCTAAAATCTTTGTCTACTTCCTGAGTAGCACTGCCTACATTTTCCAGTGCTACTCCATTTGTCTGCTGCCATCCCATCAGTCTTAAGCCATTTTTGCAAAGCTCTTGAACTTCCTGTTCCTCCAAAGTGTCACACATGTGCCCCCATTATAGTCAAAAGAATGACCACCCCTAGCACTGCTGCCAAATTCCCAGCCCCACTTCACTGCACATGGCTTTCATGGTTTCATAAAAAGTCACCTTTTCAAAGAAGTGGTACGTTTTGTGGCTACCTGTTAGCAGGTAGAAAAACACACATTTACACAGAGAATTGTTTGTCAAAGCTTCCAATCTGCTTAGCAAAGAGACAGAAACTAGGCTACGGCCAGTGGCCACATGAACAGGAGGAGTTTGGAGTTTCCTTAGCCCAGGGTCACTAGGGAAGTGGAATTCATTCAAGAGGGTGATTAGGAAGGAGGTGAGGATCATAATTTTGTGCTGGTTTCCATGCTGAGAGTTCAGGAGGGCTGGCATTACCATGCCTCATAAAGGCAATCCCAGGTCTTTTCCATTTTCATACCACCCCATCATATCCACATCCTCAAGAGGATATACAGAGGCAGCACACTGGTGTTGTTTTCTCTACCTTCATCTTTCTAGCTCTTGGGTGTTTCAGAAGGCCCACTGGATTTTTCTGCATGACCAGAGGAATCTAATACAGAGGGTAATGAGACCACTATCTCACAAATTGTTTTCCTGGCAGGGGGCTTCCCTAGTCTCCCGGGCTAAGGTCCCCTGGTTTCGTGTGTCTCTTTCTTGCGTTTTTCATTACATTTATCACTTTTACTCTATTGAATATCTATTTTCTCCCTTGACCATTGTATTAAAAACAAAAGAACATGTCTGTTTAAAAATCGTAATGCCTTAATTGGCAAAATATTCACATGGTTTAAAAACAAAATAGTAGGCTGGGCACGGTGGCTCACACTGTAATCCCAGCACTTTGGGAGGCTGAGAAGGGCGGATCACAAGGTCAGGAGATCTAGACCACGGTGAAACCCCGTCTCTACTAAAAATACAAAAAATTAGCCAGGCACGGTGGTGGGCGCCTGTAGTCCCAGCTACTCAGGAGGCTGAGGCAGGAGAATGGCGTGAACCCAGGAGGCAGAGCTTGCAGTGAGACGAGATCGCGCCACTGCACTCCAGCCTGGGCGACAGAGCGAGACTCCGTCTCAAAAAAAAAAAAAAAAAGAAAAAAATAGTATAAATATACAGTAAAACACTTTGTCCTGCCTATGTGGGGAACTCCTCCTACCCCATTCCTACCTCTCTGATTACATTTCCTCCTGGGAAATATTGCTGATGAATAACATTTTATATATGGCATTTTGCACATAGTTAAGTTTTTCAGTCAAAGGATATATTCATCCCTAATTTTTATAGCTAGGCCAAATTTCCTCCATAAATGTTATACCTATTTGCATTCCTTCCAGCAACATGTGAGAGAGATCCTGTTTCAAAGCCTTGGAATGAAACATTGTCAAACTTTTTAGATCTTTCTAATTTCATCAGTGAAACATGGTACAATATAATTTTTGCCAATTTTCTTAAGTAAATAAGCTTGAATACCTTTCATATGCTTCTCTAGATGATCTGTTCACTGGCCATTTTTCTAATGGGTTATTGATATTATAAATTATTTAGGACTGTGTATATATTGGAAAGGTTGGTCCTTATAATGTCAACTGTGAATATTTTTTCCATTTTAAGTTTTGTTGGCTATGCAGTGTTCTTGATTTTTATATAGTAGAATCTTTTTTCTTTGTGACTTTTAAATTTTGAGTCATATTGCTTATTCCTATTCAATGCCATACAGGAATTATCCCAAGTTTCCCTGTTAATATTTTTATGGTTTTATTACCTACTTGTATATATTTCACTACATTGGGAGTTTGTCATGTTGTAAAGTGAGAAATATGGATGGGAATTTATTTTCTTAATGACTAGATAATTGTCCCAAGTAATTTATTTTTTTCCCCCGTATTCTTTTGAGATGCTACCTTTATCATACACCCAACTTCCACATACATGTAAATGTATTTTTGGACTTGTTTATCTGCTCCATTGGTCTATCTGTTTGCCAGTATCATACAGTTTTAACTATTGTTTTATACCTATGTCATAGAGCCTATTTCTTTTGTTGGATTTTTTTTCAGAGATTTTTCTGGCTGTGTCTTTGCCAAGTTTATACTTCCATATGAACTTTAGAATCAATTTCATTTAAAACATACCCCCCTTTGAGTTTTAAAAAATATATATGTCTTAATTTCTAAAAAACTTTTTAATCGAAAATATCAAACCATAAATCGAGACAGAATAGTATAATGAAGTCTCATGGACTGGCAGCATTCAACTCTCCAATGATCATTTCCATGGCCAATCTTTTTCATGAATTTTCTTATCAATTTCCTCACCTTATGTTATTTTGGGAAAAGATCCTACATATACCATTTCAACTTTAAATATTTAAATATGTAAATAAAAAGTTAAGATTTATTTTGTGCTATCATTGTAGTACCATAATCACACACACCTATAATTTGTTTTTTTCAGACAGGGTCTTGCTCTGCCGCCCAGACAGGAGTGCAGTGATCATGGCTCACTGTGGCCTCAAATTCTTGGGCTCAAGTGATCCTCCCACCTCAGCTCAAGTAGCTGAGACTGCAGGTGCACCGCCAGGCCCAGCTAATTTTTTTATTTTTGATAGAGACAGGGTCTCACTATGTCGCCCAGGCTCATCTTGAACTCCTGGAGTCAAGTGGTCCTTCCACCTTGGCCTCTCAAAGTGCTGAGATTATAGGTGTGAGCCACCATGCCCAGCCCAAATTATTTTTTTAATAATAATTCTTTAATATCTCATAACTGTCCCATAAATGCCATATTTTTCTGGTTTTTAACTGAGATCAAGTTACATTTATAAATTAACTTAGAATTGACATCTTGACAGTTGAGATTTCCCATCAAGGATATGGCACATAGTATATCTATCTTTCCATTTATTTTATTGAAGTCTTTTTTTTTTTTCCTCCAGGCAGGTCACCCAGGCTGGAGTGTAGTGGCTCGAACACACCTCACTTGAAGCTTCAACCTCCCAGGCTCAAGTGATCCTCCCACCTGTCTCCTGAGTAGCTGCACATGCAAGACGCCTGGTTAATTTTTTTAAATTTGTTATAGGACTGAGGTTCTGCTGTGTTGCCCAGACTGGCCTCAAACTCCTGGGCTCGAGTGATCTCACACCTTGACCTCCCAAAGTGCTGCTAAGATTATAGTTGTGAGCCACTATGCCTGGCCTTAAGTCTTCTTTTTAGTCATTCATACTGCTGTTTGGGGATTTCTTCACGAGATATTTTATTTTCTTCTTTTTTTATTTGATGTTTATTATCTAAAGATAATAATGGATTTTGTAAGTTATACTCTGTAACTGGTTGTTGTTTTTATTTATGAATGATATTAATTTATATGTGGGAATTTTGCATCCACTAACTTGCTGCAGTTTTTCCTTGTTTGTAATTCTTTTTAAAATAGACTCTATTGCATTTCAAGGGATTCACCAAATTATCTGCAAATGGTCATGGTCAGAACTCCCCACTAATTTTTACCTCTAATTTAAAAATTACTGGTTTCCTATCTAATTGCGCTGACTAGTGCTCTCCGGATCAGCAATTAAAATGATAGTGGTGATGGTGACACCCAAGCCTGGTGTAAATAAATGAGTCAGTGAAGGCAAAGATGGCATTATGAGAAAGACTGATGATGAGACTATCTTCTTCTAAATACAAAATGAGTTTTCAATGTTCGACAACATGAAGCATCCTAAAGACTAAACTATGGCAAGGATATTTAATCTACTTCCATATTTTTTATTCGTAAAATTCGCTTACTTTATAGGCAAGTATGAACCACTTTGAGGTTTTCCCACTCCTAATTCTCAATTCCTATGTGTGGTATCATCTAAGAGAATAAGTAATTCTGAATATTCTGGACATGTGGCATGACCTCTGCACCAACTCTCTAGATGTGTTTGAGCCTGGTGTGCCGTGGACCCTGAATCGAGACATAAACAAGTATACTTCGGGTGTCCCCAGTTACAAAAGATGTTAAGTTTCACATAATAAATATTCAGAAACAGCATGCTGAAAATAAAGAAAAGAAAATCAATGCCTCATAAAGAAATTCATCGCAAATAACCCTCTAACGTACTGATAAAATTTTAAAATTATATAATTTCTTTTTTTTTTTTGAGACAGGATCTGGCTCTGTCACACAGGCTGGAATGTAGTGGCATGATCACGGCTTGTTGCCACCCCATCTCCTGGGCTCAAGCCATCCTCACAGTCCAGACTTGGAGGAGCTGGAACTGCAGGCACATGCCACCACACCTAGCCAATTTATTAATTCTTTTTTGTAGAGACAAGGTTTGGCCATATTGCTTCCAGGCTGGTCTTGAACTCCAGGGTTCAAGCAATTTAACTGCCCAGGCCTCAAAAAGTGATGTGGGGATTATAGGCGTGAGCCACCACGCCTGGCCTATATACTTTTCTTTTTCTTTCTAACATAACTATTTTCAAATATCAGTCTAATGTGAATGAGAAAATAAGCTACTGGAATAAAGAGCTTATGAAAAGATAAGTAGAGGGAGAGGAGGATAATATGGCAGCCAAGGACTCCCTCTGTTCCACTGTTTCTCCCCTTCTACACTCTTGCTGGCTGCAACGAGACAGGGGAGAGAGTTTGTTGTCTAAAACCAGACCTATGAAGCTAACCATAAGAATACCAGATAATATGAGTTCAAATGCATATGAATATATAATCAAATATGAAATTTGACAGATATGCTCATTTTTAACATGTATTATTGTTATATCTTTATTTTCTCACTATTTGGCCAAAAAGTGTCATAAGGGGGGCACGCCCAAGAAGGGCCGAACAGGAACAGCTCCAGCCTTCAGCCCCAGCGTGAGCGACACAGAAGATGGGTGATTTCTGCATTTTCAACTGAGATACCAGGTTCATCTCACTGGGGCATGTCGGACAGTTGGTGCTGGTCCGCGAATGGAGCCCGACCAGCGAGAGCTGAAGCAGGGTAAGGCATCACTCCCTCACCCGGGAAGCAATGGGGGAAGGGAATTCCTTTTCCTAGCCAAAGGAAATTGAGACACACAACACCTGGAAAATCGGGTAACTCCCACCCTAATACTGCACTTTACCAAGGGTCTTAGCAAATGGCACACCAGGAGATTATACCTTACACCTGGCTCCAGAGGGTCCCACGCCCACGGAGCCTCCTCATTGCTAGCACAGCAGTCTGAGCTCTAACTGCAAGGTGGAAGCGAGGCTGGGGGAGGGGTGCCCGCCATTGCTGAGGCTACAGGCAAACAAAGCCACTGGGAAGCCTGGAATTGGGTGGAGCTCACCACACAGGTCAAGGAGGCCTGCCTGCCTCTGTAGACTCCACCTCTGGGGACAGGGCATAGCTAAACAAAGAGCAGCAGAAACCTCAGCAGTGTAAATGTCCCTGTCTGACAGTTGAAGAGAGCAGTGGCTCTCCCAGCAAGGAGGTTGAGAGTCCGAGAACGGACAGACTGCCTGCTCAAGTGGGTCCTAACTAGGAGACATCCCCTCTACCAGGTGCAGACCGACACCACATCTCACATGGCTGGGTACACCCCTGAGACAAAGCTTCCATAGCAAGAATCAGACAGCAACACTCGCTGTTCAGCAATATTCTATCTTCTGCAGCCTCCACTGCCGATACCAAGGCAAACAGGGCCTGGAGTGGGACTCCCAAGCAAAACTCCAACAGACCTGCAGCTGAGGGTCCTGACTGTTAGAAGGAAACTAACAAACAGAAAGGACATCCACACCAAAACCCCATCAGTACATCATCATCAAAGACCAAAGGCAGATAAAACCACAAAGATGGGGAAAAAGCAGTGCAGAAAAGCTGGAAATTCAAAAATCAGAGTGCATCTCCCTCCAAAGAACACACAGGCTCATCGCCAGCAATGGAACAAAGCTGGATGGAGAATGACTTTGATGAGTTGAGAGAAGAAGGCTTCAGTCGATCAATCTTCTCAGAGCTAAAGGAAGAACTATGTAACCAGCGCAAAGAAACTAAAATCTTGAAAAAGAATGGATGAATGGGTTAAATTAGAATAACCAATGTAGAGAAGTCCTTAAAAGAATTGATAGAGATGAAAACCATAACATGAGAACTACGTGACAAATGCACAAGCTTCAGGAACTGACTCGATCAACTGGAAGAAAGAGTATCAGCGATTGGAAGATCAAAATGAATGAAATGAAGCGAGAAGAGAAGTGTAGAGAAAAAAGAGTAAAAAGTAATGAACAAAGCCTCCAAGAAATGTGGGATTATGTGAAAAGACCAAATCTACGTCTGATTGGTGTGCCTGAAAGTGACAGGGTAAATGGAAACAAGTTGGAAAACACTCTGCAGGATATCATCCAGGAAAACTTCCCCAACCTAGTAAGGCAGGCCAACATTCAAATTCAGGAAATACAAAGAACGCCAACAGATATCTTGAGAAGACAACCAAGACATATAATTGCTACTGATTCACCAAAGTTGAATGAAGGAAAAATGTTATGGCAAATTTGAGAGAAAGGCCAGGCTACCTACGAAGGGAAGCCATCAGACCAACAGCAGATCTCTTGGCAGAAACTCTACAAGCCAGAAGAGAGTGGGGGCCAATATTCAACATTCTTAAAGAAAAGAATTTTCAACCCAGAATTTCATATCCAGCCAAACTATTTCATGAGTGAAGGAGAAATAAAATCCTTTACAGACAAGCAAATGCTTAGAGATTTTGTCACCACCAGGCCTGCTCTACAAGAGATCCTGAAGGAAGCACTAAACATGGAAAGGAAAAACAAGTACTCAGCTATTGCAAAAATATGCCAAAATGTAAAGTCCATCCATGCTAGGAAGAAAGTGCATCAACTAACGAGTTAAAAATAACCAGCTAATATCATAATGACAGGATCAAGTTCACACATAACAATATTAACCTTAAATGTAAATGGACTAAATGCTCCAATTAAAAGACACAGACTGGCAAATTGGATAAAGAGTCGAGACCCATCAGTGTGCTGTATTCAGGAGACCCATTTTACATGCAGAGACACATATAGGCTCAAAATAAAGGATGGAGGAAGATCTACCAAGCAAATGGAGAACAAAAAGCAGGGGTTGCAATCCTAGTCTCTGATAAAACAGACTTTAAACCATCAAAGATCAAAACAGACAAAGAAGGCCATTACATAATGGTAAAGTGGCCAATTCAATTGTGAAGTTACTTAACTATCCTAAACACATATGCACCCAATATGTGAGCACCCAGATTCATAAAGCAAGTCCTTAGAGACTTACAAAGAGACTTAGACTCCCAAGGCTAACAATAATGGGAGAGGCCGGGCGGTGGCTCATGCCTGTAATCTCAGCACTTTGGGAGGCCGAGGTGGGTGGATCACGAGGTCAGGAGATTGACTATCTCGGCCAACACGGTGAAACCCCATCTCTACTAAAAAAATACAAAAATTAGCCAGGCATGGTGGCACGCACCTGTAATCCCAGCTACTTGGGAGGCTGAGGCAGGAGAATCACTTGAACTTGGGAGGTGGAGGTTGCAGTGGCCAAGATCGTGACACTCCACACTTTGGCCTGTGACAGAGCAAGCACTCCATCTCAGAATTAAAAAAAAATAATAATAATAATGGGATACTTTATCATTCATTGTCAACATTAGAGAGACTCTAACGAGGACCGAAAGTTAACAAGGATACCCAGGAATTGAACTCAGCTCTGCACCAAGTGGACCTAATAGACATCTACAGAACTCTCCACCCCAAAGCAACAGAATATACATTCTTCTAGCACCACATTGTGCGCTTACTCCAAAATTGACTATAGTTGGAAGTAAAGCACTCCTCAGCAAATGTAAAAGAACAGAAACAGAGAGCAAACTGTCTCTCAGACCACAGCAATCAAACTAGAACTCAGGACTGTAGAAACTCAATCAAAACTGTCTAACTACATGGAAACTGGAACAACCTGCTCCTGAATGATTACTGGGTACATAACTAAATGAAGGCAGAAATAAAGATGTTATTTGAAACCAATGAGAACAAAGATACAACATACCAGAATCTCTGGGACACATTTAAAGCAGTGTGTAGGGGGAAATTTATAGCACTAAATGCCCACAAGAAAAAGCAGGAAAGATCTAAAATTGACACTCTAATATCACAATTAAAAGAACTAGAAAAGCAAGAGCAAACGATCGCAAAAGCTAGCAGAAGGCAAGAAATAATTAAGAGATCAGAGCAGAAATCCGAAGGAGATAGAGACACAAAAATCTCTCCAAAAAGAACCATTAATCCAGGAGTTGATTTTTGAAAGATCAACAAAATTGACAGACCGCTTAGCAAGACTAATAAAGAAGAAAAGAGAAGAATCAAATAGATGCAATAAAAATGATAAAGGGATATCACCACCGACCCCACAGAAATACAAACTACCATTAGAGAATACTATAAACACTTCTACGCAAATAAACTAGAAAATCTAGAAGAAATGGATAATTCCTGGACACTTACACTCTCCCAAGACTAAACCAGGAAGAAGTTGAATCCCTGAATAGACCAATAGCAGGCTCTGGAATTGAGGCAATAATTAATAGCCTACCAACCAAAAAAAAAGTCCAGGACCAGATGGATTCACAGCTGAATTCTACCAGAGGCATAAGGAGGAGCTGGTACCATTCCTTCTGAAACTATTCCAATCAATAGAAAAAGAGGGAATCCTCCTAACTCATTTTATGAGGCCAACATCATCCTGATACCAAAGCCTGGCAGAGACACAACAAAAAAGAGAATTTTAGACCAATATCCCTGATGAACATCGATGCAAAATCCTCAATAAAATACTGGCAAACCGGATTCAGCAGCACATCAAAAAGCTTATCCACCATGATCAAGCGGGCTTCATCCCTGATGCAAGCCTGTCTAACATTTGCAAATCAATAAACATAATCCAGCATATAAACAGAACCAAAGACAAGAACCACATGATTATCTCAATAGATGCAGAAAAGGCTTTTGACAAAATTCAACAGCCCTTCATGCTAAAACGCTCAATAAATTCGGTATTGATGGAATGTACCTCAAAATAATAAGAGCTATTTATGACAAACCCACAGCCAATATCATTCTGAATAGGCAAAACTGGTAATGCCCTTTGGAAAACTGGCATAAAGACAGGATGCCCTCTCTCACCACTCCTATTCAACATAGTGTTGGAAGTTCTGGCTAGGCAACTTGTGGGCAAGAGAAAGAAATCAAGGGTATTCAGTTAGGAAAAGAAGAAGTCAAATTGTCCTCTTGCAGATGACATGACTGTATATTTCTAGAAAAGCCCATCACCCCAGCCCAAAATCTCCTTAAGCTGATAAGCAACTTCAGCAAAGTCTCAGGGTACAAAATTAATGTGCAAAAATCAAAAGCATTTGTATACACCAGTAACAGACAAACAGAGAGCCAAATCATGAATGAACTTCCATTCACAATTGCTTCAAAGAGAATAAAATACCTAGGAATCCAACTTACAAGGGATGTAAGAGACCTCTTCAAGGAGAACTACAAACCACTGCTCAGTGAAATAAAAGAGACACAAACAACAGAAGGGACATACCATGCTCATGGATAGGAAGAATCAATATTGTGAAAATGCCCATACTGCCCAAGGTTATTTATAGATTCAATGCCATCCCCATCAAGCTACCAATGACTTTCTTCACAGAATTGGAAAACTGCTTTAAAGTTCATATGGAACCAAAAAAGAGCCTCCATTGCCAAGACAATCCTAAGTCAAAAGAATGCTGGAGGCATCAGCTACCTGACTTCAAACTATACTACAAGGCTACAGTAACCAAAACAGCATGGTACTGGTACCAAACAGAGATATAGACCAATGGAACAGAACAGAGTCCTCAGAAATAATACCTCACATCTACAGCCATCTGATCTTTGACAAACCTGAGAGAAACAAGAAATGGGGAAAGGATTCCCTATTTAATAAATTGTACTGGGAAAATTGGCTAGCCATAAGTAGAAAGCTGAAACTGGATCTTTTCCTTACTACTTATATGAAAATTAATTCAAGATGGATTAGAGACTTAAATGTTAGACCTAATACCATAAAAACCCTAGAAGAAAACCTAGGTAATACCATTCAGGACATAGGCATGGACAAGGACTTCATGTCTAAAACACCAAAAGCAATGGCAACAAAAGCCAAAATTGACAAATGGGATCTAATTAAACTAAAGAGCTTCTGCACAGCAAAAGAAATTGCCCTCAGAGTGAACAGGCAACCTACAGAATGGGAGAAAATTTTTGCAATCTACTCATCTGACAAAGGGCTAATATCCAGAACCTACAAAGAACTCAATCAAATTTACAAGAAAAAAATAACCCCATGAAAAAGTGGGCAAAGGATATGAACAGACACTTCTCAAAAGAAGACATTCATACAGCCAATAGACACATGAAAAAATGCTCATCATCACTGGCCATCAGAGAAATGGCAAATCAAAACCACAATGAGATGCCATCTCACACCAGTTAGAATGGCAATCATTAAAAAGTCAGGAAACAACAGGTGCTGGAGAGGATGTGGAGAAATAGGAACTTTTACACTGTTGATGGGACTGTAAACTAGTTCAACCATTGTGGAAAATAGTGTGACAATTCCTCAAGGATCTAGAACTAGAAATACCATTTGACCCAGCCATCCCATAACTGGGGATATACCCAAATGATTATAAGTCATGCTGCTCTAAAGACACATGCACACGTATGTTTATTGCAGCACTATTCACAATAGCAAAGACTTGGAATCAACCCAAATGTCCATCAGTGACAGACTGGATTAAGAAAATGTGGCACATATATACCATGGAATACTATGCAGCCATAAAAAAGGATGAGTTTGTGTCCTTTGTAGGGACATGGATGCAGCTGGAAACCATCATTCTCAGCAAACTATCACAAGAACAGAAAACCCAACACCACATATTCTCACTCATAGGTGGGAACTGAACAATGAGAACACTTGGACACAGGAAGGGGAACATCACACACTGGTGCCTATTGTAGAGAGGGGTGAGGGGGGAGAGATAGCATTAGGAGATATACCTAATGTAAATGACGAGTTAATGGGTGCAGCACACCAACATGGCACATGTATACATATGTAACAAACCTGCATGTTGTGCACATGTACCCTAGGACTTAAAGTATAATTTAAAAAAAAGTGTCATAAAACACTTGGTTTTACATGATATAAAATGTCTTCTACGTCTCTTCAGTTACTCCCTGTGGCTAATTAAAAAAATGAGAATATATTTCATATGCTTTGGTGAGTTTCAGGGGATTTATAAGTTAACAGTTGATATTTTCCCCCATTGGATTAGGAGTTTTACTTGTATTAGCTGATATTAAATCTTTATCCACTCTTCCTTTGAGCTTCTCTCTGCCTCTGTCCACTTCATATTGTACCATCTTCCTCCTCCCCTATACTCAAGCAAGGTGAGGTAGTAACTATTACACTTAATAATATTCAGTGCATGGAATAGTTGAGAAAGAACTGAGAAATTAAATATATATATTATAAAAAAGTGATAGGAGGTGAGGAACAATTAGAAACTGGTTTTGCATTTGTCCGTCTTTTGCATTAAAATCCTTGTAAGCACTTGGAGCTAAGAATTGAAGTTCAGATAAGCCTTGTGTAACTCATGCTTTTGTCATTATTATTTTCATACATCACTTTACATGAAGCAATCCTGACAAATTTCTTCCAGTGATAGAGCTACTTATATCATTTCCCAGGGCACACATTACCTGGAGTTCAAATGTTTGAACGGTGGTTCCTGTTTTGTTATATATAAACTGACCTAGGAAAATTTCTTCTCCTTCACATTTTTTGGTGACGCCCTATAAAGAAAGCAACAGATACAGAGATTGTAATGAATGGATACAGTTGTGTTTTCAAAAAGAAGAAATAATTCACCAGATATCTCTGCGTGTCCACCAGGGGCACAGTGCTGTGATCATGCCAGTACTAATCTACGCACCCAGAGGGCATTTAACAAGGGACCAGTGAGGCCAAAGGCTGATCACGGGACTGACTAGAAGGACAGAGGATGGATGGATAGATAGATAGATAGATAGATAGATAGATAGATAGATAGATAGAAGACAGATGAAAGATAGATGATTGATAGATAAACAACTGATAGATGAAAGACAGATACATACATGTAGAGCAAATCCCAGCATTAACTCTGGTCTGATAACTATATTTGTAATAAGCATACTTTGAATAAAATAAAAATGGGTCCCCATATTGAACTGATGTTTTCCAAAATGAGACAAACATAGGCCAATTGCTAGATTTTGATCACACAGATAATTTCCTCTAAAAAGTAAGCTTCTGTTGACTGATAAAAACACTGATTTTTTCTTTGTATGCAATTTCTCTTGTGCTTTTTGTTCTTCCTCTCTACCCTTCAAATTGAAGATTTGTGAGAGGAGAATGCACTGCTGCAAACTAATTCATTTTGTGAAACTGAAGTTTACTGTTAGGTTCCTTAAATTGTAGTAACATAGCAAAATAAAGAGTACATTCATTAAATCATTTTATAATAAAAATATTAATATCAAACTATAACATTTTTATTAAAAGAGTTGGATACATCATGGTTACATAATGTACTGACAATTATATATGTATATGTGACTGAAGCCTCATATATTCTCTTTAGCTTAAGAGAGGACTGCTAGTTTTATTTCTACCTTCTTTATCACCTTCTTGGTTTTTTTTTTTTAAGAAACAGGATCTGATGGAATACTATGCAGCCATAAAAAAGAACAAGATCATGTCCTTTGCAGGAACATGGATGGAGCTGGAGGCCATTATCCTTAGCAAACTAACACAGGAATAGAAAAACAAATACCTATGTTCTCACTTATAAGTGGGAGCTAAATAATGAGAACACATGAACACAAAGGGGAGCAACAGACACTGAGATCTACTTGAGGGTGGTGGGGGTGGGAGGAGGGAGAGAAGCAGAGAAATACCTGTTGGGTATTACTACTTACTGCCTATATAACAAACCTGCACATATATCCCTGAACCTAAAATAAAAGTTAAAAGAAAAGAAAAACAAACAAACAAAGAAAAAACGGGGTCTGGCCATGCTGCCCAGGCTGGCCTCGAATTCCTGGGCTCAGGTGATCCTCCTGCTTTAGCCTTTTAAGGAGGTGGGATCACAGGAGCAGCTACTGCACCCAGCCCTTTTATCACCTTGTTTTGATTTTACTTGTTTCATAAATTCTCTACTGTAGAAGAAAATAATGAGAAGCAGTTTTTATTACTAAAGGATCCCTGCCTTTGGGATTCACCCATAATTTTTCTAAACAATGAATATGTTCACCTTTCTGAGATGGAACTTAGCTGCTCAAACTCAACTTTTCAGACACCACTTGCAGGTGGTGGGGCTTCTATGAAAGGACAGCAGCCCTTTGTTGTGAAACTCCACATATGGAATGTAGAGGCATTTGGGTGGCATGTAAGACAGGCTGTTTAACCCGGGGCCCTCCTCCAGATGGGAAGATCGAATAATTGAAGTAAGGCATAAACCTATAAGGCAAAAGGGGGAGTAGACAGTAAAACCAAAAACCAAACCAAACCAAAACAAACAAAAACAAAAAGAAAGAAACAAAAAAACACCAAAAAGTGAAGATGGCCCAATGGCAGCTGGAGAGAGAGAACACAAACTACTCTGGCTGTAGGTAGAACCAGCAGCGCAGGACTTAAGCGGCAGGTTCCCAGAAAGGCCGGAAGAGGGAGTCCACGTGGGGCGGGGAGGTGTGGGGGAAAGGAGCCCAAATCTGCGGTTTAGCTGACAGTCGTTTCAAAAAGCAGTTACAACGCCTCCACACCCCTCCAGCCCCGCCTGGCCCAGGAGAGGGCTCTGTTCTTCCTCCCATCTCGAAGACCACTGCTGGCACCGCCCCAGAACCGCCCACAAGAGCATGACCCCTGCACAAAGTGGTGGCCCCGCGGCCGTCCTCTCCCCAGCAGTTCCTGGTGTGGTTGGCCAGGCTGGTACCTCCTGTGCACTGCAGGAGTCCTCTCAGGGTCAACTCTCCTGATGGCACACTTGTGACTCCCAACGAAATGGCCTGACCTGATGATTCCCGGGGCAAACTCACAACGTATGAGCCCCACCGTGCGCACAAAACTTCCTGCTGGCTTTGCACCGCCTAGCAATTCATGTGACAAGCATCACAGACATGGGAGAAAAGCATTGTACAGGAAACAGAGAGACCATACGCACAAGAGGGGAAAAGTGGGGCTAGGAAATCCAGACCCGGAAGCGAGCAGAAGAAAGTGAGACAAACCTACAGTTAATATCTTCAGAAGCATAAGGGAAGGTACTGCCTTCATAAAAGAAAAAAAATATAGGCTCTAAAAAAGGGAATATGTATAGAAACAAGAAGTCTCAGAAAGTATAATCATGACAGCAGGAATGAAAATTTCCATAGACGAGTTAAAATATGAATTGATATGATCTTCCAGAAGGTGGAACAAAAAACAGAAAAGGGAAATAAGAAACACTTTTTAAAAATAATAAATTAGACAACAAGTTGAATCCTCAGGATGCAGGCATGAAATCCCATGACAACAGTTGTGCATCAGGCCTACCTAACAAGGCTGGAGCAAAACGCTGAGGGTGCCAGTGGGATATCTCGGGGAAAAAGAAAAAAGAAAAAAATGAATAGAAAATGAAGGAAGGGATGAAGAATGGAAGAAATTTATAAATTATCTCATGTGAATCAACATAATGGGGGAATATTTGTACCTCCGAAGAAGAATTTGGGAAAGTTTTAGTAATAGGAATACAGAAAACTAAGCAAATTAAAGAAAAATAGGCTGGGCACCTGTGGCTCACGTCTGTAATCCCAGCACTGTGGGAGGCCAAGGAGGGAGGATCCCCTGAGCCCTGGAGTTTGAGACCTGCCTGGGTAACATAGTAAGACCCTTATCTCTACTAAAAAACTTAAAAAGCAATCCCATGAGTTTGAAGTTGCAGTGAGCTGTGATTGTGCCACTGTACTCCAACCTGGGCGACAGAGCTGAGACCCTGTCTCAAGAAAAAAAAAAAAAGTAAAGCAATTATTACACTCAGAAACATAAAAAAAAATGGAAGAAAGTAGTATTTAAGTACACTAAATAGTTCAACTGAGAGCTGTTTTGTTCACATAGTCACCGTGAAAACATTGAGTATTGCTTGAACAAAAAGATAATACAGTCTTCTAGCAGTGCCTCAAATGTTAAACCTACATTTACCATGCTATCTAAGAATTCCAGTCTTAGGTATACACCCAAGCAAAACAAAAACTCATGTCCACACAAAAACTTGTACATGAATGTTTATTGAAACATTATTCGTAATGACCAAAAAAATGAAAATAATTCAGATGTCCATCAACTGATGAATAGATAAATAAAATGTCATCTATCCATACAATGAAATGTTATTCAGCAATAAAAAATAAATGAAATATTGAGACATACTATATCATAAATGAACCTTGAAAGCATTATGCTAAGTTAAGCCATTTGCAAAAGATCACACATTATAAATGATTCAATTTATATGAAATGCATAGAATGGTAAATTTATTGAGACAAAGTAGATTAGTGGTTGCCAGGGGTTGGAGGAGTACACTAGGGGAATAGGAGGTGATGGCTAAGGGGTATGGGGTTTCCTTTTAGGGTAAGAAAAATGTTCTAAAATTGATTATGGTGATGGATACACAACTCTGTGAATATACTAAAAGCCACTGAAGGGTGTACTTTAAGTGGGTGAATTAATTGTTATGGGAATTATATCTCCAGAAACATGTTTTGTTTTTTAAATCAAGACATAAACATGTTGGGAGGATGGAAGTGCCATGGAAAAGATCAGTATACTCTTCACTTTCCATGAGAGGATGTCATAACTAAAACTGAAAAATCAAGAAGTAATGGTAAAAGCCAACATGGAGGCAAGTACCCAAATAAACATCTAAAATTGTTGCAAGTAGAAGCTCTGGGATAATGAGAATTGGAGATGTGGAGAAGTGGGACAAAGAATAACTATTTCTTTACAAACTTTATGGAAATACTTGATTTTTACATGTACGTGTATAACTTTGATAAAAGTAAAAAAAAGTTGAATAATATAAATCATTTGGTCCAACTCTCTCTCTTTGTAGGTGAGAAAGCAAAAGTTCAGGAAATAAGTGACACAACTAGTTATCTGTCCTAGTTCAGAGGACAGACCCTAATTCCCAGCCAACCACCTTCTATCAGGCCAATCTGAGTGACAAATTTATATAACTTCTTACATAGACAGAAAATTCCTTGGGTGCACTGGAGATGTTCCCTGAGGGAGACACCTTCTCTGAGATGTGCTCCATGGTAACAGCAGTAGGTATGATCTTTGTAGCAAGCTTGATTAGGGTATGACCCTGGGAACCTGGAAAAGCCCAGCACTTTCCAGGGTAGACATCCGGCTGGAAAGAAAACACTGAATTAATCTCTTAACTAGTTATGTGAATCCATTCCCACAATACTGATCAGCTAATCACTATTGACTGCAGATCTCTCTTATGCCTATCAAATAGGAAAACTTCCAAGACACCTCTAGTGTGGTTGCTCTTCCAGAGCACTGTATGCTTATATCAATCAGAGTCCTTTATCATATGAGCATGTTTTCTTTCATTGCTCTAACTAGACTGTAACCTGTTACAAGGCAGCTAGAGGGCATGAGTGGGGTGCTGGTAAGGCTAGTGATGGTGGTAGTGAGGACGATGGTGGTGACCACTGTGGTGATCATTGTGGTGATGATGGTGGTAATAATGGTGGCAGTGGAGGTGATGATGATGGTGGTAGTGGTAGTGGTGATGGTGATGGCAATGGTGGTCATGGCAATGGTGGTGGTGGTAGAGGTAATGGTGATGGTAGTAATGGTAGTGGTGGTGATAGTGATAGTGATAATTGAAGTAGTAGTGGTGAAGGTGGTGATAAAGGCAGTGGTGGTGGTGGCAGTGACATTGGTGGTGGTGATGATGATGGACATGAGGGTGGTGATAAAGAAAGATGGCGATGGAGGTGGCGGTGGTGGTGGCAGTGATGGTGGCTGTGGTGGCAGTGATAGTGGTGGTGGTGATGGTGATGGACGTGGAGGCTGTGATGAAGATGAGGGTGGTGGTGATGAAGATGAGGGTGTTGATGGAGATGGGAGTGGTGGTGGTGATTATGGTGATAGAGAAGAAAAATGAGGTCTACTACTTTGTAGATATAAACTACAGCCTGGAATAAGATCAATGGGTTTTACCCCTGAAAGTTCTAAATTTGCGACTAACTTCAGGTGTATGGATCAAAGTTGAGAGGTGCTCTGCTGTCTATTGATGGCTACTGCCTTTAGAATGTAACTGAAAAGTTTGGTGGGGATCTTACTTGGAGATTTCTTCTATTATAATTAGACTTAAGAACATGTGGTCTGAATAGCACTTAACACAGTACAGTACTGGCACTTAGCAGACAAGTACTTTCAACAAATGTTTGTTGAATGACTGAAGTTTTCAATGGAAAAGGATGGTCACAGAATCAACTTACAGAAAAGACACGGAATGTATATGTTTTATTTGAGAATAAAATAATCTAGTTTACTAATCTGAAAATGATAAATAAGTAAATAATTAATCATAGTTTACTGACCATAAAATAAGACATAATTGATGCAGTGTACTGACTATAAAAAATGTAATGAGATGATTTCAGGTTCTGTAACAAGTTCGGACACTCTTATATTGCCTCTATTTTAAAATTAACATTTTCATGATAAATAATAAGAACAAAATTCTAAAATAGAAATAAGTGATTCTTAATTTAGCTTTACCTGGAGAATAATATCTGGAGGCATTTCATGATTTAGGAAACCTATCCCATGCCAGTACAATTTTGCTTTATTATTTTTATAACTTTCTGAGGTCCCGGCTTCAATGATGGAGGCTCCTAAAATTATAAAGTAAGTTTTAAAATGAAGAAACAACATACACCATTCAAAACACATCATTTGAATTTTAACAGTGTCTCTAGAAAATTATTACTGGGCAAATTATAAGTGAGGTAAAATTCATACTTAGGAATTGATAGGAAAAGTATGACAGTTTTCACTACCACTGAAATTTTGTCATTTTGAAGAAAACAAGTTTGCTCTGTTTAGTTTCACAAAATGTAAGATAAAAATTGAATTTTGAGGCAAGTAAAGTAGAGATGAGAACATTATATGGATTCTGTATCACCTAAAAACATATGTAGATCTCTATATTTTAACAGCTCATGCGATAAATGAGACTTCCTGTCATCCCCATTCACTCAATAACAAAAAAAGCAGAAAACCAACAATGCTCCAAATGTCCTTCAAGTTACATTTGCAGCAATTATGCAGATTCATTGAACTCAATTTTAATCAAATAAATATGAAATATACTCATCAAACATTATCCCTTCAGGTTACTTCATTTTAGAAACAAAATGCATTTTATACATAAGAAATAAAGAAAATGCAAATGGCTTTTTCAAATTGCATTTGCATAACACACCACAACACTAAAAATACATGTGCCTCATGAAGTTTTTTTTTTTTTTTTTGAGACGGAGTCTCACTCTGTTGCCAGGCTGGAGTGCAGTGGCGCAATCTTGGCTTACTGCAACCTCCGCCTCCCGGGTTCAAGTGATTCTCCCGCCTCAGCTTCCCGAGCAGCTGAGGCTACAGGTGCCCACCACCACACCGGCTAAGTTTTTGTATTTTTAGTAGAGATGGGGTTTCACCATATTGGCCAGGATAGTCTCCAACTCTTGACCTAGTGATCCACCCACCTCGGCCTCCCAAAGTGTTGGGATCACAGGCATGAGCCACCGCACCCAGCTGATTATCCATACTTTTTCTAAGATGACACACTTTTTGAAATAGTAAATGAGTTCCCAGAGTTGCCAGATTTGGCAAATAAAAATACAAGATGGCCATTTAAATTTGAATTTCAGGTAAACAAAGAATAAGTTTTTAGTTGTAGTCATACAACTTTGGGATATATACATACAATATTTGGGATATATTTATACTAAAAGATTGTTTACTATTTATCTGAAATTTAAATTTAACTGGGCTCCCTTCATTTTATCTGGAAACCCTATGTGTACTTCGTTTTTGAAGGCTGATATTGACTGCCCACTCACTATTCCTACTCGACCAAGTGGCTGGACAGAATCTACACTTTCACCTGCTATTGTGAGGACTGAGCACCCCATCCCCATAATCCTTTCCAGAAAAAAATTAAAATTTTAGTGTTGTGGAATTTTGAAAATAATTCATATTTATTCATTTTCTCATTTATTAAAAAATTTAAGTCAGCTTTATTAAGATATAATTCACATCCTAAACAATTCACTCATTCACAGTGTGTGACTCAGGGTTTTGTATTATATTCTTAGAGTGGCACAGCCACCACAATCAATTTTAGATCATTTAGTCAGCCCCAAAAGGAACCCATAGCAGTTAGCTATCATTCCCCATTTCCCTCAGTATCCCTCCCCAAGCTTTGGCAATTATTAATCTATTTTCTGTCCCTGTGGGTTTACCTATTCTGGACATTTCTTTTGCTGCTCCCTTGTAGTCAGTCACAGTATGTAGCCTTTTCACTAAGGCTACTTTCATTTAGCCAATGCGTTTGAGGTTTATGAATGCTGTAATGAGTATCAGAAGTTCATTCCTTTTATTGACTGCAGGTTAATATTCCGTTGTGTGAATGCATCTGTTATTCTTTGTTGATGGACATGGGGTTATTCCCAATTTTGGTGATTATGAATACAGTTGCCATAGATATTCTTGGCAAGTTTTGATGTGAACATGTTTCAATTTATCTTAGATAAATATTTAGAAGTGGGATTGCTGGGTCAATAAGATGTTATAATGAACTTCATAAGAAATTGTCAGACTTTGCCAGAGTGGCTGTGCCAGGTTACATTCTCACCCACAGTGTATGAGAGGTCCATTTGGTTCATGCTGTTGCCAGCACTTAGTATGGTCAGTTTTGTCCTGTTTGGCATTCTAATAGGTGTGTAATGATATAACATTGAGATTTTAATTGACATTTCACTAATGAATAATAATGTGAGGCATTTTTTCATATACTTTTTTGATATGCATATATCTTCTTTAATGAAGTGTCTTCTAAATCTTTTGCCTATTTTGTATCGGGTTGTCTGTTTGCTTAATTGAGGCTTGACAGTTTTCTATAAATTCTGGATTCAAGAATGTGTGTGGTTTCCAAATATTCTCCCCCAGCCTGTAACTTGTCTTTTCCTTCTCGTAACTGCTTTTTGGCAGAGCAGAAATTAATTTTGATGAACCCTGTATTATCCATTATTTTCCTTTTACAATCATAGTTTTTGATGTTGTGTTTAAGAAATGTTTTTCTAACTCTAAAAAATTTCTCTTATTTTTTTCTTAGCTTTAAGTTTTATATTTAAGACTGTGACCCATTTGGGGTTAATTTTTACAAATTGTGGGTTTTGGGCCAAGGCATTTTTTTTTCTTTTTTTGCATATGAATGTCCACCTGTTCCAGCACCACTGACTTGCCTTTTTTCCGGTTTTCAAAAATCTATTCACCACAGGTGTGAACTACTTCTAGACTTTTTGTATTGTTCCATTGATTTCACGAGTACCACATGCTCTTGATTACTGTAAACTTACAGTAAGCCTTAAAATCAGGTAGTGTGAGTTCTCCAACTTGGTCCCTTTTTTTCCCAAAACAAATTTGGCTCTTCTAGTTCCTTCACCATTTCACATACATTTTGAAAACAGATTGTCAATTTCTACAAATAATCCTGCTGGGATTTTGATTAGGATTGTATTGAATCCATAGAAAAGCTGGACAGTATTGTCATCTTAATGGTATTGAGTCTTCAAATCCATAAACATGGTATACCTGTCCATTTATTTAAATCTTTGTTTATTTCTTTCATTATTATTTTTTAGTTTTTAGCTCTCAGTTCCCACATTTTATTACCCTTATACCTAAGTATTTTATGTTTTTTTACTGCATTTATGAATAGTGCTGCTTTTAAATATTTTCTAATTTTCTATTGTTAGCATATAGAAATTGTGTATATACCCTTGAACTTGTAAACGTCACTTATTCTAGTAGATTTTTTTGGTGGTTTTTCTACATAAGCAATCATGTTGTCTCTGAATAGAACCATTTTTATTTCTTCCTTTCTAATTTGCATGCCTTTTCCCCCACCCTCTGCCTTTCTTACTCTCTCTCTCTCTCAGTTTTTCTTCATTTCCTTTTCCTGCCTTCTTTTAATATGAGTTGAAATTTTTAATTTTTTTAAAATTTTTTTATTTTTTTGAAACTGAGTCTCGCTCTGGGGCCCAGGCTGGAGTGCAATGGCACAATCTCGGCTCACTGCAATCTCTGCCTCGCCTTGCAGGTTCAAGCGATTCTCCTGCCTCAGCTTCCTGAGTAGCTGGGATTACAGGTGTGCGCCACCACACCTGGCTTTTTGTATTTTTAGTAGAGACGGGGTTTCACCATGTTGGCCAGGCTGGTCTCGAACTCCTGACCTCAAGTGATCCACCCGCCTCGGCCTCCCAAAGTGCCAGGATTTTAGGCATGAGCTACTGTGCCTGGCCTCCATTTTGATTTCTCTATTAGCGTTTGGATATCTCTGTGTTTTAAAGGAATTATTCTCATGATTACAACGCACATAACCTAGCAGCTCATGGTTTATTTAAGAGTTAACTCTTTATTATTCATGTAAAATCTTTACATTTATAGATGCCCATTACATCTCACCCACTGACTTTTCCTTTATGGTTGTCATAGTGTTAAATCTACATATATTAGCCCTCCACCCCCGGATAATGCCATACATTTTTTCCTTTCAACAGCCGTACATACTTTGAAGTACTTAATGAAAGAAAATTACCTCATCTTTTGTTGTTGTTTTGAGATGGAGTTTCACTCTCGTCACCTAGGCTGGAGAGCAGTGGCATGATCTAGGCTCACTGCAACCTCCACCTCCTGGGTTGAAGCTATTCTCCTGCCTCAGCCTCTGGAGTAGCTGGAATTACGGGCATGTGCCACCACACCCGGCTAATTTTTCTATTTTTAGTAGAGACAGGATTTCACCATGTTGGCCTGGCTAGTCTGGAACTCCTGACCTCAGGTGATCCACCTGCCTCAGCCTCCCGAAGTGCTGGGATTGCAAGGTATGAGTCACCGTGCCGGGCCACCTCATCTTTACTCACAGATGAGGCTGTTGCTCCTTCTTCATTCTTTAAGTCCCAAGTTTCTTTTTGGTGTCATTTCTATTGAGCTGAAGAACTTCCTTTAGCGGATTCATTGGCAGAGAATTTTCTTAGTTTTTCTTCATCTAAGAGTGTCTTCATTTTGCCTTCATTTCCTGAAAGATATTTTCACTGGATCTACAATTCTGCATTACTAGATCCTTTCCTTCAGCACTTTAAACATGTAGTTTCCTTCTCTTCCAGTCTCTTTAACTTCTGGTAAGAAATCTGTAATAATACATTTTTTTTTTTTTAGCTTCTTTCAAATATTTTTCTTCATCTTTGATTTTGAGCAATTTAACTATGATGTGTCTGGATGTCATTTTCCTTGAATTTATCTTGTTTCTGATTTGCCATGCTTTTTGAATCTGTAAATTTATTTTTTATTTTTTTAAATCGAGTTTGAGATGTTTTTGGTTATTACTTCTTTAGATTATTGTCCTACATTGGTCTCCTCTTCATCTCCCTCTGAGACTACAAGGATAAGAATATTATACCTTTTTATAGTGTCCTATACATTTCTGAAGTTGTTTGCATTTTTTTGAACATTTTTTCATTGGATTGCATAATTTCTTTTGATCTATCTTCAACTGCACTACTTCTTTCTTTTTAATTTTTAAGTTTGGGGTACATGTGCAGGTTTGTTACATAGAAAAACTTGTGTCGTGGGGATTTGTTGTACAGATTATTTTGTCACCCAGGTGTTAAGCCTGGTATTCATTAGTTATTTTTCCTGATCTTCTCCCTTCTGTCACCCTCCATCCTCCAATAGGCCCCAGTGTATGTTGCTGCCCTCTATGTGTTTATGTGTTCTCATCATTTAGCTCCCACTTATAAGTGAGAACATGTGTTTTTGGTTTTCTATTCCTGTGTTAGTTTGCTAAGGATAATGGCCTCCAGCTCCATCCATGTTCCTGCAAAGGACATGATCTTGTTCTTTTTTATGGTTGCATAGTATTCTATAGTGTCTATGTACAACATTTTCTTTACCCAATCTATCATTGATGGGCATTTAGGTTGGTTCCATGTCTTTTCTATTGTGAATAGTGCTACAGTGAACACATGCATGCATATGTCTTTATAAAAGAACAATTTACATTCCTCTGGATATCCTAGTAATGAGTTTGATGGTTCGAATGGTATTTTTGTCTTTAGGTCTTTGAGGAATCACCACACTGTCTTTCGCAGTGGTTGAAATAATTTACACTCCCATCAACAGTGAATAACCATTCCTTTTTCTCCACAACCTTGCCAGTATCTGTTAGTTTTTAACTTTTTGATAATAGCCATTCTGACTGGTGTGAGATGTTATCTCATTGTGGTTTTGATTTGCATTTCTCTTATGATCAGTGATGTTGAGATTTTTTTCAAATGATTTTTGGCCATATGCAGGTCTTCTTCTGAAAAGTGTCTGTTCATGTCCTTTGCCCACTTTTTAATGGGGTTGTTTTGTTTTCTTGTAAATTTGTGCAAGTTCCTTATAAATGCTGGATATTAGACCATTGTTGGATATAGAGTTTGCAAAAATTTCCTTCCATTCTGTAGGTTGTCTGTTTACTCTGCTGATAGTTTCTTTTTCTGTGCAGAGCTCTTTAGTTTAATTAAACCCCATTTGCCAATTCTTACTTTTGTTGCAATTACTTTTGATGTCTTTGTCATGATATCTTTGCCCATGCCTATGTCCTGAATGGTACATACAACTTTCAGGCTGAGACTATGGGGTTTTCTAGATATAGGATTATGTTGTCTGCAAACAGGTATAGTTTGACTTCCTCTCTTCCTATTTGGATGCCCTATATTTCTTTCTCTTGCCTGATTACCTTGGCCAGGACTTCTAATACTGCGTTGAACAGGAGTGACTTCATAGGCAATACCTAGGTTGTCTTCCTGGGTTTTTTATTTTTTAATTTTTTAATTTTTTATTTTTTTTGTAGTTTTGGCTTTTACATTTAAGTCTATGTTCGATTTTCAGTTTTTTAAATATTTGATGTATGGAAGGGGTCCAATTTCAGTCTTCTGCATATGGCTAGCCAGTTATTCCAGTACCATTTATTGAATAGGAATACTTTCTGCAATGTTTGTTTCTGTCAGATTGGTAGAATATTAGATAGTTGTGTGTGGCCTTATTTCTGGGTTCTCTATTCTGTTCCATTGGTATATATGTCTGTTTTTGTGCCAGTACCGTGCTGTTTTGGTTACTGTAGCTCTGTAGTATAGTTTGAAGTTGGGTAATGTGATGCCTCCAGCTTTGTTCTTTTTGCTTAGAATTGCCCTTGCTATTTTTGGTTTCATATGACTTTTAAAATAGTTTTATCTAGTTATGTGAAGAATGTCAATGGTAGTTTAATAAGTATAGCATTGAATCTATAAATTGCTTTCAGCAGTATGGCCATTTTAATGATATTGATTCTTTCTATCCATGAGCATGAGATGTTTTTCCATTTGTATCATCTCTGATTTCGTTAAACAATGGTTTGTAGTTCTCTTTGTAGAGATCTTTCACCTCCAAAATTATCTGTATTCCTAGGTATTTTATTCTTTTTATGGCAATTGTGAATGGGAGTTCGTTACTGATTTGGCTCTTGGCTTGACTTTTGTTGGTGTATAGGAATGCTAGTGATTTTTGCACATTGATTTTGTATCCTGAAACTTGGCTGAAGTTGTTTATCAACTTAAGAAGCTTTCGGGCTGAGACTATGGGGATTATGTTGTCTGCAAACAGGGATAGTTTGACTTCCTCTCTTCCTATTTGGATGCCCTATATTTTTTTGTCTTGCCTGATTACCTTGGCCAGGACTTCTAATACTGTGTTAAATAGGAGTGACTTCACTACTTTTTTTTCTCTATTTTTGTTTTTCTATTATTAAGCATATATAGTCAATTTTTATTTTAGATATTGTATTTTTCAGTTCTAAAATTCCTTCTGGTTCTTTTTATTCTCTTGGCTGAGAACAGGTATCTTTTCATTCGTTTCAAGTGTACTTACTTTTATCTCATAAAGCATAATTATGCTAGCTGCTTCAAGCTTTGTGTGACAATTCGAACATCTGTGTCATGATGAGGTTGGCATCTGTTGTCTTTTCCCTTGGTAGTTGGTCTTATTTCCCTAGGAGTCTTCATGCCAAGTAATTGTGATTTGTACCCTAGACATACTGAATATTATATCGTAAGACTCTGAGTCCCATAAAAATCCACGAGGGAATGCTTTCATTTGCTTCGTCAATCAGCCTAGAAATATGAGTCCTCCCTCCTTTTATGGGTGGTGGTTCCAATCTCAATTCAGTCCTCAAAACCTTTGCTACAGGCCTGTCATGTCCATGTACCACTCAGGGGTTAGTCGAAGACTTGAGCCATAGTTTACATTATTGCCAAATGCTCAAAGCCTCCACTTTGCTGCTTTGGGTCTGTTCCCATGAATGGGCAGCTGAGAGGTGAGGCCAGAAGCTGGCCACAAACAGACAGGGGAGCAGGCGTCTTCTTTGCAGCTTTGCCTTCCCAGGCTTTCTACCCACACTCTCTGGACCACAGAACTACTTTATTCTGCATCTTTGGCTAGAAAAATGGGGCCTCTCTCAGTTTTAGCTGCCCAACTTGCTGCCACGTTTGCAGCTCTGTAATTGCTGCCTGCCTCAGCCTACGCTGCAAGAGAAAAGAAAAGAAAAAAGGAAACTCCCACAGGCTCACAACCACAGTTTTTGGTTCCCCTCTTCCAACTGCCTGCTTTGTTTACTTTTCAGCTCACTCAGGTAGTTGCTTTTTGAATTTTGTCCAGATTTTTTTTCATTGTAATCAGGTGGAAGGGACTTAACAGGCTTTCTCCATCTTGGCCAAAGCCAAAGCAGAACTGACATTTGTTTCCATATCTATGGTTACAGAGAAGCCCAATTATCTCCTTCTTTTCCTCACTCTTCATGCGCTACTTGTGCACCTACATTCGTCATCATAGGCTTTTCAAAATGGAAGTTGTAATTACATCAATTGATATAAATACATCAATACAAAGAAGAAAGCATTTAAAAAGTGTATCAGAATGCCAAGACCAAAAAATAAATAAATAAATAAATAAATAAATAAATAAATAAATAAAGAACTATGGTCCTTCTCCCGTCTTACCTTAACACTCATGCTTTAGGGCATCAGGTTCGGGAAAGTTCTGCCCTCTAACTCACTCTCTCAAAAAACACACACTCTCAAGCCTGAGTAATCATGCTGTTCCAAATGCTCTCCAGTTCATGTAAGCTGGAAATTTATTTCCCTGGCATAAATTTGAGTATCAATTGATTAAAATTAGCATTACTATATGTTTTATATTTCCTTTCTCCTTCTGTCCCTTTCTTCTTTCCTTCCACATTGTTCACTGAACACATATTATTCGTAGTCTATTATAGGCAGAGCATGGTAGAGAAGATTAAGGTTAATGATTCATAGCCTTAGCCCTTAAGAATTAATTTTAATTGAAATATATTAGGAACATTACATATAACCTTTAAACACTGTCATTTAATCCCTAATAATGCATTTAGATTGGTTATCATAGTTGTTTTAGTATATAATAATGTAAAATGTCCTAATATTTTGTGCCTTTCACAACTTCACTGTGGCATCTTGGCTTTCTTGGTGGTTCTTTTAGATGCGTGTTAATGAAGTTGCACAGGCTTTATTCCCTGGAACATTTGCACACAGAAAGCAATCAGTGACAACTATTTCTATTCTCTTCTTTATTATCTAAATTGATTAATTTCCCCCCTCTCAAGTTACCAGATAAACATGTTTTCCTCATAAACAAATGTAGAGGATAGAGACACTCCTGAAGCATTGTTTTTTTAAATGTTCCTCTTTTCACTTTTTCTGTACTCACCGGCCGACTTCAGAGCATAATCAGCCATCTGGACTTGGTCTTCTCTCAACTTTTTAAGTACATAATTGACCAAGTTTGACATTTCCTGTAGAAATTTTAGAAACAGTTTTCTGTTAACAATCTCTGCCAACTGCTTGAGTTTTGACCATTCGTTTTATTGATTTGGACCTAATTTGCAAAATTAGAATAGCAGTGAGCACCTATCAGCTGCACTCTGAGCCAGGCACTGTGCATGTGTCGTGGACTGACATCTTCACGGCTCCTGGGAGTGTCCCTCTCAGGGATACGATGTAAATAAAGCCAAGGTGTGTTCAGGGACTCCCACAAGGTCACGCAGCATGGTGGACCTAGGGTCCCTTCTGAAGCCCTAACCACTGCATCACAGTGCCCTCCCGGTGACGTGTGAGGTGAGGTTGTGCTGTGACCTACTGTGTTCCATCCCTCATTAGTGTCCTGTGGTTAGCAGTAAAGACTGAAAGACTTGAACATTCTAGAGTTACTTGGGAATCAAGGCAGTTTACACAGATTACATGATTACTTATATTAGACATTTTTCACTGACTCTAATTAATATTGGGTTCTGAAGGATGTTGTCATTCTAAAAAACAAAAACAAACAAACAAACAAACAAACAAAACCATAAGCACCCTAAGTAGGCGCAACAGTTTAAGTTCAAGCTGCCTAAATGTAACACCTTCACAGTGACAAGGATGAAATGGGGCCTGGCAGGCGGCAGGTGGTCTGTGTCAGATTGCTGCGTATTTCAAAAAGTAGACATTAGGGAAGAAAAAGAAAGTAGTAATGACAGCAGAAGAGAAAGAAGCAAAACAGAGCTCATGGTTTCCAACCCAGTTTTGCCTGAATCTGATGCTGACCAGACTAACTGCATTAGCTACAAAGATGATGAATGCAAATCTTTTGCTATTTAAAGTATTTGTGTATAGAGCTCAGAGACTGTTCTTTCTTTCTCTTTCTTTCTTTCTTTCTTTCTTTCTTTCTTTCTTTCTTTCTTTCTTTCTTTCTTTCTTTCTTTCTCTCTTTCTTTCTTTCTACTGGAAAATAGGAGTTATTTATTTTGGTGTGAAGTAAGTCATATGCAATAGAATGTCTTCTCTGTGACACATCATTTATGAAACAGTGGGTTTCTGTACATGAACCAAATATCAGTCAACACTGGACTTCCCATTGGGAGAAGAAGTGGATGTGACACTGGAAGGACATACTCCCCGTCACCCTGGACATCCTCACTATCCACCACCCCATCCCGCCCAACACGCCTTGCCTCATCCAGGACCTCTGTGTGGTCTGGGTCCTCCACAGGGACTCCATGGGCGTTCCAGCTGTGATTATTGTCCGTACCATCCTTCGTATCTCTAAGCAATGCCTTCAGGACATCTATTTGTTCAATCAAAAGTAGAATTTTACGAAAATTGTTTTCCAGAGTCTGGCTTTCCTTCCTGTAAAAGGAGAACCTCAGCATGAGAGGAAGAAAGTGTAAAGCTCCTGTTATCAGCTGTGGCTGGGCTTCGGAGCCTGCCACGTGATGAGGTGCTTTATATTGTTGAAGATATACATTCTTGAGTGAGGGGAGAGCAGAGCACACCCATTTCTCTAAAGCATCATGCTTCACTTAATAAAAAAACCCCGAGGCCATCCAGGGGTCACATGGCTGAGGGTGTCCTAGTGCTTGGCTGGGCTCTGCACAGGACGGCAGGCAAGGCTCAATCAACCTTGTTGGTCCCCCAGCTGGGTGACATTACACAGGTGAATCCTGAATCCCACTGGTACCCTCCTTCCGACTGGGAACACCTTGCATTTCCAGTGTAGTACAGAGCAGTGGGTTTGAACCGTAGCCTGAGTTCAGTGGAAGTGCCTTGGGCAAGGGGTGCTGGGGGATCCAGCCAGTGGGCAGCAACTGGTTACCAGATTGACAGCCTGAGCATGCAAGATTTTACTTCCCAAGAATGGGTTTTCTGTGTTTACAGTTTGAAAATTACTAGTAGAGAGAATAAGAAAATGTCAAGCGAATAGGTATTTCTTTATGCTGAAAAAGTATAAACACTACTTATCTAGTATTTTTCCCCATTTGTAAAACGATACATGCTTAAAATTGGGGAAAAAACAAGCATTTAGAAGAAATAAACACTGTTAAATTTTAATGACTTTCTACCAGTTTTTATTCCATGCAAAAAATTAGTAACAAAATAGAAATAATATTTATAATTTTGTGTCTCCACTACACTTCCAAATGATTAAACCTATTTTAAAATTATTTAAATGGCTTTATAATTCTTCATTTCATGAATATATTCCAATGTAGTTAACCATTGGTCTATTTTTCTTATAAGGTTGTTTTCCATTTTTAATTATCATAAATAACATGGAAAGCACACCTCAGTGTGTATTTTGTTAAGGAATGCTCCATAGAAGTAGAAATATATAAAGGGGCAAGTAATTTTCTAAAGTACTAAAGATGTTACTGTTTGGTGTTTAAAATTTTAAATTATGTAGGTGCACAAGTGAGAGGAGGCAACTTTAATTGGGTTGTTTCCTTCTTCTGAGAAATCCAAATAACAATAAATGTACTATTTTTAATACTAAACACAGCAGGAGTAGATTAATTCACCTCTAACCCTTTAATCTTTTCTATCTTCTTTGTTTTTCTTTTTCTTCCTCCTTTCTTTCCATCTGCATATATACATAGAGAAATGCTAAGAATGATGTCATTAACTATTAATAATAGTTATTTCTGGGAGTGAAATTTTGAGTTATTTCAGGGAGTAGCTTTTCTTTCTTATGCTTTTTTGTACAAAAACATTTCAGTATTTGAAATCACACCAAAAAGAGACACATAGCAAAAAAAATCTCACTCACTTTAAAAGTTCCAGTTGCTCTTTAGGCATACGAAGTCTGGCCTGAAAACAACAGAAAAAGATAAATCGTTCTGAATTCTGCTTATTCAAGTAGAGTTTTTTTTTTTTTTCCCCTCAGGGGAAATAAATAGCACGTTGACTCCTGATATATAGATGTGCTGGCTGGAACTCAGGAGCATTCTCTGAGTGGCCCGCCTCTTTCCCAGCCTCATCTGTACCTCATGAATGTATTTGAAGGAGATGAGGTAATGCAAATCTATTTAATGAGTGACATTCAACAGGAACTCTTGGATGGGCACATCATTTCCTGTTTCTTAAGACTGTAAAGGCCTGAACACAGTCTGACGGGGAGGAGAGAGTGAGGTTGGAAGAGGAAAAAATATAGGGAGGAGGAAGAGAGGGAAGGGAAGACAAAGGGGAGAGGCACCCCTGGTGAATGTGGAAAAACCCAAGGAGCACGTGGTGACATTAGAGGGCATGCTGAGCTCTTTGGGCTTGTCCCTGAAGAAGGAGGGAGACTCCCACTTACAAATAAGAAAGGGATGTGATTACTTTTGGGCTAGATTGGCCATCACAATCAGAAAATTGCAGAAATGTATCTAACATTGGTGACATGTGTGGTATAGATAGTCTCTGGTGTGGATGGTCTTGGTGGTTACCAAACTAAGACAAGAAACCAGGAAAAGGTAAAATTACCGTTTGGACACAACGTTTGCCTTCAGAGGATTTTCTGCTGTGGAAGTGGTCAGGGAAAACATAAACACTGGAGAGGTAGAGGATACCAGAATGCAGGCAGCACTCTAGTCTGCAGTACCGGGCTACTGTGCTGCCTGTTCCTCTCCTAGAATGGGGGAATGGCCTAGCCGCCTCTTCCTGTCACTGAGAAGACCTTGGGCCTGGGTGGCCAACACCTCTATGTTCCTTAGCTCATCCTGCTGTGTGTCTTCCACACATCTGAGGCCCTGCCACAGATGACGGTGGTTGGTTGGGTGCTCACATTTTTTTTTTTTTTTTGAGATGGAATCTTGCTCTGTTGCCCAGGCTGGAGTGCAGTGGCACCATCTCGGCTCACTGCAAGCTCCGCCTCCCGGGTTCACGCCATTCTCCTGCCTCAGCCTCCCGAGTAGCTGGGACTACAGGCGCCCACCACCATGCCCGGCTAATTTTTTTGTATTTTTAGTAGAGACAGAGTTTCACCGTGTTAGCCAGGATGGTCTTGATCTCCTGACCTCATGATCTGCCCGCCTTGGCCTCCCAAAGTGCTGGGATTACAGGCGTGAGCCACTGCACCCGGCTAAGGGTGCTCACATTTCAAATGCCCTACAAGTCATTAGCCTGGCAGCCTCCAAAGCCCTGCACTCTCTTCCCATCTGTCTTTACCCAGCATGAGACACACACACACAAACACACACACTCCACATACACACACTCATACACACATATGCCCATGCTCATATGCACACATGCATACTCACATATGCACACATGCACAGCCTCTATTCCAACATGGGATGGTTGGAGAAGGTCAATAATATTACCAACAGAGGAAGGAGGGCAAAAGAGAGCACCTTGGGGCACCAATCTTGAAGGGCTCAGAAGCCAACTGAGTGGACAAGCTGGTGAGAAGGGGAGGACAAATGGGGAAGGGAGATCTCTTCCCCAGAGAATTCCAGGAAAAATAGTCAACAATGCCCATCAACGGATGGCTCCTGACATCCTTTCTTTATATCTGGAACTCCCCTACCCTGACATGTTTTACTCAAGTGATTTGTCAATTAAGAGGCAGTATCTTTGACTACGTGCCAAGAAAATAATGTAGATCAGAGTGGAGGAATGATAAGTGTGAAAACAAAGTCTGACCCAAGCAATCAATTCCCTTGGGTTTAAACTTAAATCTTGGAGGATTCCCACAGCAGTTTCCAGAATTTTGTCTCATCCACATACTCTCCCTGCCAGGTTGGGAAGCAGACACCTCTGCTTTTAATGATCATTTTCTTGTAGCAACAAAGCTCATACTTCAGGCGCCCAACAGAGAACTCAAAGAGACCCTATGAGTTTCCTGGGGCTCTTGACACACATGACCACAAATGAGGTGGCTTGAAACAATGAAAATTTATTCTGTTGCTGTTCCGGAGGTCAGAAGCGTGAGGTTAACGTGTCTACATGGTTAAGCTCCTCTGAAGGTCCTCAGGGAGATTCTGTTTCTTGCCTTTTCTAACTTATGGTGGCTCTGGGCACTTCTAGGCTTGTGGCTACATCGCTCCAGTCTCTGCTTCTGCCTTTACGTGGTCTCCTCTTCTCCTCTCTGTGTCTCTGTCTTCTGTAAGTCTACTAAGGAGATCCCTGTCATTGTATTTAGGATCCATCTGAGTAATCTAGGACGATTTGATATCAAGAACCTTAATTACATCTGCAAAGACCTTTTTCCCAAATAAAGGTCACGTTCCCAGGTTCTGGGGGTCAGGAGGTAGACATATCTTTTTGGGGATCACCTTTCAATCTCCTACAGTGACCATCAATGTGTTATCTGGGAAATAATGCTCTATCTTTATCCAGTAATTAGCCTGCTTTTCTGTTTCAAAGACTGGCTTTTTATCAGTTTGCTCTGCCCAAAATAGTGCCACATACTATAAATGTGTTGTATCTTGTATGGTGCTGTTGCGTCACGTGTGAGAATGGTGTCAGAATGGAATGTAGTGTGACACATGGAAAAATATTGCCTTACTTTTGTTCTGAGCAATTACACTTCTTATATGTTCTCCTCATCATTTTTATTTTGACAAGGATGTGAATTTGGGAGCTTATCATTGGTAGATATTCTCACTTCTAGTTTTTCACATTCTGTTGGGCAAGTTCCCTGTCAGTAGGAGCAGTGTTTTCAATTTGTTTCTTTTTTCTGTTCTAGCCATAAAATAACATATAGAAAGCACTCCTCAATTAGTTTGCTGACAAATGAACTTGAAAGTTCCTTGAAAAATAAAATTTTTCACAATTTTAAAAACATTTTTATTTTGCCTCATTCCCAAAAGCATTTCAGGCAAGTTCTACTATAGGAACATATATAGTATAAGAACATGTAGGACAAAACAGTAAGTGAGGAAGTCAAAGTGACGATAAAATAAAGATTGGAAAAGTAAGGTAACGCAAGAAGGATGAGGTTGGAACCTACTTGTGCCTGAAATTCTTGAAAGTTATTAGCTGTGGGCTATAAATTTGTTTCAGAGCATCACAGCAACCAAATGGGTGGGAAAGGGGGCAGGCCAATGACCAAAATTTACCACATCCACAATGTGGAAAAAGAAAATCAAAAGTGTTATAAAGGCTGCTTTGTGTATAGTTGATGATCTTTCTGCAACATTTCTGGCAATGAGATGGGGGTTCAGTGTCCTAGGAACCTTCCTAAAACATCCCTCCCTGTAGGCTGTTGGCCTCATGACAAAGCCTACCTCAGGGAAAGCCTCATCAGATGTGAAAATGTCCAAAGCACTCATTAAGAGGACACAGCCTCCAGGGATATTGTTTTCAGCAACAAAGCCCCTGTGCCCTATCCTAACCATGGATTAAGGTAGGGTCTGTCTGCATGTGCTGTCAATTTACAGCCTCCTGAGATATGAAAGCATCAGGTAGAGGCTGGCAAAGAAATAGCCATAGGCAAAGCCCAGTCTTATTTGTTTTTTGTTTGTTTGTTTGTTTGTTTCCAGATAATGTTGACTGAGACCCAAAGCTTTATGCCTTGGAACATGGCTGTAGTAATTTGAACCAAGATAAATTCAATGATGTGTTAACACATTTCTTACATGGTCATTAAAATTTTTTCTCAGTGAAGTCCCATAAGATATCTAATTTTAAACCATATAACTTCAAGGTGAATCCTACAAACTATAGAGATTACAGACTATGTCCTGCGTAAATAACTAAGCTTGCTGCCTAATACAGGTTTTAAGATAGAAACCAATTAAATATTGGAGTAAGAAATTTGAAGTCATTTGTCTTGAACTCACGGCTGTGATCACTATGGCTTGAACATCTACCTATATTTCTTCCAAAATTCATGTTGAAACTTAATCCCCATTGTGGTGGTGTTAAGAGGTAGGGTATTTTGGGGAGTGATTAAGTCATGAAGGTACCAACCACGTGAATAGCATTAGTGCTTTTAATAAAAAGCTCAAAGGAAGTAGTTTAGGCCCTTTTTGCCCTTCGACCTTCTGCCACGTGAAGACACAAGAAAGCTCTCATTAAACATAGAATGCTCATGCCTTGATCTTGGACTTCACAGCCTCTAGAACTGTGAGAAACACATGTCTGTTGTTTATAAGCTACCCAGTCTATGGCATTTTGTTATAATAGCACAAATGGATTAAGACTGTGCTGGTGATTTGAAAGTGGCATGTGACAATAAAATTTTGTTCTCAGTGTAGCAGTGAGCAAAGTCTTTGTCTGGATGGCAGGCCCAGTCTCAACAAAATCTGGATCCTCAGGGAGGACTATTTCAGCTCTGGAATATGCAGTGGTGTGACCACAGGCTGCCTTCCTTCACTGTGCTGATCCAGCTTCCTAATCTATAAATGGATTTAGTAATACTCTTACTAAAAGGTCATTTCGAGGATAAAGTGTAATATATATTTAGTGTTCTTAGGATCCCTTCTGATGCATAGTTATTACCATTATCCTGTTCTTCATGGTGGAATATGGGGCGATATATCCAGCTTTTTGAAAAGTAATATCAAATCATTAGAATTCAATATGAAAACAAAGTCACCTAAAAATTTTAAATATTCTTTACTTATTTTTCTTTTAAGAGTTTATCCTAAGTAGGTAATCAATGAGAGGCAAATTGATTAAGCCATAGGATGTTTATGTTTATAATATTTAAAAAATTAGAGACAATCCAATTGTTTAGAAATAAGTATTCATTGAAATTATTCATTGGAATATTTTATGATCCATTAAATGTCATTATAAAATAATATCTAAAGGCAAGGGAGCATATTTAAAATCTATTACTGGCCGAGTGCAGTGTTTCATGCCTGTAATCGCTTGAGCTCAGGAGATTGAGAAACAACATCTACTTCATGTAGCTTGGGATTTATAAAGAACTCACCTAGATATAAGTTACCATCAGTCTCCAGTGGTTTCTGACAGTGCTCTTGTCTATGTGAAAACCAGGTTAACACTGGTCAAAAGTTAAATGATCATAGCTCAACCTCAACCTCACAAAAAATACTGTCCTTAGAAACACGGCCATAGACATTTTATTTTATATTTTGAGACAGAGTCTTGCTTTATCACCCAGGCTGGAGTGCAGTGGCACGAGCACAGCTGACTGCAGCCTCAACCTCCCAGGCTCAAGTGATCCTGCCACCTCAGCCTCCAGAGTAGCTAGGACTACAGGTATACGCCACCATGTCTGGCTGATTTTTTTGTTGTTCAGGCTGGTCTTGAACTCCTGGAGCCAAGTGATCTGCCCACCTCATGCACCCAAAGTGCTGGGATTATAGGAATGAGCCACCGTGTTGGGCTGGCTAGACATTTTTAAAGGGTTGAATTTGCTGTTGAGTATGCTGGTTAGTCTAAAATCGGAAGGTAGAAGGGAAGGACGCCTTTTTAAAATGTGATTAGTCTCAGATAATTTATTTATTTATTTGTTGATGTATATATTTATTAAGCCTCCATTTACCTGGGGACTCTTCTAGGCTCTAGACAAGCTCCTTGATCATTACATTTTAGTTAAAAGGGGAGAATGCAAAAAGAGAACTGGTAAAGAAATTGTTGAGTGTCTAAGATAAAGCAGGGGTAAAACTAGGATGCACCTACACCTGGATTTTGTCACAGGTGGTTTGGGTGGTCACAGAAGCCTGTCTGGTGAGGAGACATTTGAGCTAGCTGGAATTTCAGAAAGAAACCATCCCTGCAAAGATCTGCAGCAGAAGACTATGGGCAAAGGGGCACCCAATATTCAGGCACTAACAGAACCTGCCAGATAAACTTAATGAGTATATTAGTCAGAGTTCTCCAGAGAAACGGAACCAAGCCAATGTATATATATAGAGAGATTTATTTTGAGGAATTGGCTCAAGGGGCTAAGTCTGAAGTTTTCAGGGCAGGCTGGCAGGCTGGAGAACCAGGGAAGAGTTGATGCTGCAGCTCAAGTCTGAAGGCTATTTGGAGACAACATTTCTTCTTTCTTGGGGGATCTCATTCTTTATTCTTAAGCCCTTAAAATGACTATGAGATGAACCCACACTGTAGCGGGTAGTCTTCTGTACTTAGTCTATAGATTTAGATGTTAATCACATCTAAAAAATACCTTCACTGAAATATCTAGACTGGTGTTTGACCAAACATTTGGGCACCATGGCCTAGTCAAACTGACACACAAAATTAACCATCACAATGAAGCTTAGGCACAAATTGGCAATAATTGGAGCCACCATTGACCACTCTACATGCTCATCTCTGCTTTTCTGGTGATGACTTAACTATCCAGCTTCAGTTCCCATGGGCTTGGTCTTAGTCTTTGATGTGAGGACCTCGTGGAGTAGGAGCTATCTGAGCTGACTCTCTCTGTGGGGTTCCCAGGTGGCTGTGCTTTTGTCTAAGACTGGGGTCTCACAGATTGTCAACTGAATAGCACATTTGAGATGGGCGTTATAAACCCATGAACATCCAGGGAGGCTTCCTCACTGGACTGGAATGCTATGGGCATCATACACGTGCAGTCTCCTCCCTTTAGGGACTTCACATGGCAAGACACATTGAAATGAGGCAGTTGCTGGAGGAACTGGGAAGTAGAAGATTTCAGAGGCCCTCAGTGCAAAGGGTATGAAGTATGAATCTGATCAGTCAGGCCCGAGGTCACTGACTGGGGTCACTGCAGTCACTATGGGTTAAAAGGTCAGCATACTGGTGGAGACAGGTCAATGTCTGTCCATCTTCCCACAGAGCAGCAGTGACCTGGTCATAGCTTCTGCTGAAACCATCTTTGCAAAAATGGTAACTGAGGGAATTATGACAGTGAAAGAGACAAGACCTATCCTACTCCATTGTGCTTCTAACCTTTAAGCTGTCCTTTTTCATTCCTGGGAGTAGGCCAAACTAACTTTGGGAAGGAATTCAGTTCATGGTTTGACTCTGAAACAAAATTGATAATAGCCCTTTCCTGAAAAGACCCCCTTCTTTCTTGGGGACCAATCTGCCTTTTTAGGACTAATAAATTCTCTACAAGATTAGAAATTACAGTTTAGGGGTCATGCAGCCCCTGGCTCCAGGAGTCTGAACCTCCCCAAATTGTTCCTGGGGATAACATCACTATTGTAAAACCCGAGATCAGTGCTTGAGGTATTTTGCAGACCCTGCACTGCATGGATCAGCTGACACCACCCAGACCGGTAATCTGACTCAACCAGTTCTGCCAGCCTACCTAGGAACAGAAGACAGCAAGAAAACCTTACTTTGACCCTCTATGATTCCATCTCCAACCTGACCAATTAGCACTCCCCACTTCCCAAACCCCTACCTGCCAAATTATCTTTAAAAACTTTGATCCTCAAATGCTTGGTAAGACTAATTTGAGTAATAATAAAACTCTGGTCTCCTGTACAACCGGCTCTGCATGAATTAATCTTTCTCTATTGCAATTCTCCTGTCTCGATAAATTGGCTCTGTCAAGGCAACGGGCAAGGTGAACCCTTTGGGTGGTTACACTGCCACCCTCCTCCCTCCAGTCTTCTGAGTTTCTGAGCGTAGGTGGGCAAGTCTTATTCTGGAATGCTGGGGGTGGGGTGGATCAGAAAGAGGACATTTAATGACTGGCCTCAGTCTAAGCCCACTTAGATCTAACTAGTTTCAGGATAAAGGGAAGTGCCATACTCCTGTCTGGTGTCAGGCAGTGTCAGGCAGAAGTTGATGACAAAGATTTATTTGCCATTTTATTTGTGCTTGAGATTCTCTTGGGGAACTGTGGAGAATTTTTAGGATGTCATAGCTATGAAGCTATTGTCTTTGTCTGTTTTCTGCTGCTATAACAGAATACCACAGCCTGGGTAATTTATAAACAACAGAAGTTTGTTTGGCTTGCAGTTCTGGAGGCTTGGAAATCTGAGACTTTGGCACTGGCATGTGGTGAAGATTCTACCATGGCAGAAGGATGAAAGGACACAGGAACATGTGAGACAGAGAGAAATGGGGCCAAACTCATCCTTTTATTAGGAGCCCACTCTTCAGTTGGGTCTTGCATTCCAATGATAATGGCATTAATTCAAGCTCTTATGATCCAATCACTTTTTAAAGGTCCTACCTCTGAACACTGTTACAATGGCAATTAAATTTCGACATGAGGTTTGGCGGTCACAATCAAACCATAGAAACTACTTAATAGAATTCCATTTCCTACATTAACTTTATTAGATATTCTCATATAAAACAAAGATAACATATTGAAAGTTGAACTAGCCTTGTAGCATATTAAACTTCAAATGAGTGATACACAAAATGACTTAACAAAACATCACCTGTAATTTATAAAGCCTTGAGCCATATTCTGCAATTATGGCATATAATTGTCTGGATTTCTGAGGAACCTCTGTTTCTTTAAGCCACTGATGACTTAGGAGTCCTGTTAAAGAAAAGACAAACTCTGATTAAAGAGTTTCTCTGGAAACATAAAATATTTTACATGTATTCATAAGAATTTCCCTAAACATGAAAAATATATATACTCTTAAGAGTATCAGATCCTTGGGTGAAATCATGGAAAATGGTGGAATAGTACGCACAAAAAATCAAGCCTCCATATAAACAATATAGCTGGTAAAGATTGACAGAATCAAATTTTTTAGAACTCTGGAGTCTAATTCAAAACCTACAGCAGCCAGATAACTAAGGATGGGGGGCTAGTTTCTAGAAACAGATCATGTGGCATTTTTGTTTACCTGACTACCATCTTCCATTTCCCAACCTGGTGGTGGCAGCTATAGGGACAGCATTTCACATCCCTTTAAAATAGACCTTGTTCTTATACCTTGGCAATGTTTTTTTGACCCATCTAGTGGTTCCCTGAGGGGCTGGCACAGAAACTGACCTGTGTTTATTCCACTCCCATAGCTTTCTAGGAAGTGGAAATATCTATAGAAAGCCTTCAAAGACATACTGCCCAAGCCCAGCTGGGACAAAAGACAGTAGATGATGGAAGTGGCAGACAGACCCAAAGGCCCATGAATAAAGAGGCAGTCTCCTGCTGGAAAAAGGGCTCAGAAGGACTGCTGCATCATATACTAGGAAAGAGAGAATGTAATGTGCATTTCTAGGACTGGATACATGTTCATAAATGATCTCAAGAAGATGCTGGGTTGCACCTCTGGTGGATCTGTCAATTGTGTACAAGCAGGAAGTGAAGGCTAAGGCAGAGTTGTAGGTGGCCTGGCTTAGTCTTGAAGGAGTGTCTCAGCTTAGAGCCAAGCTGCAAAGACTGAGAGAGTAATCTCCCTGTCTCTGTTTCTCTCTCTCTCTCTGGATTCAGGAATTCAAGGAAATATGTGTTAAATCAGTGGCTAACCACTGAGATAGTGGAATAGTAAATATATATGACAAGAAATACAGTCTCAAAAATAGTTTTGGGAGGCCAAGGCAGGCGGATCATGAAGTCAAGAGCTCGAGACCATTCTGGCCAACATGGTGAAACCCTGTCTCTACTAAAAGTACAAAAATTAGCTGGGCTTGGTGGCACTTGCCTGTAGTCCCAGCTACTTGGGAGACTGAGACAGGAGAATTCCTTGAACCCGGGAGGTGGAGGTTGCAGTGAGCCGAAATCGTGCCACTGCACTCCAGCCTGGTGACAGAGCAAGACTCCGTCTCAAAAAAAAAAAAAAAATTGTTTGAAAATGTTACTAAACAAACAAGTGATTGCAGCCCTTAACATGCAACAGCAGGTAAACCCTGGGGAATAGGAAAATCTGATTTCTAGAGTTGTTAATTATAATATTAAAATGCTCAATTTACAAAATCACATGGCATACAATAAAACAGGAAAGTATGGCCCATTCAAAAGGAGAAAATGGCAGAAACCATCCCTGAGGAATCTGACATTGGAATTACGAGACAAAAACTTTAAATCAGCTATTCTACATATGTTCAAAAACTAAAGGAAACCATGGACAAAGAACTAAAGGAAACCAGGAAGATTATGCATGAATAAAATGAGAATAGTGATCAAAATAAATTATGAAAGAAACCAAATATAAATTCTGAAGCTGAAAGAGGAATAACTAAAATGAAGAACTTACTAGAAGGGCTCAACAGTCAATTGAAGCAGGCAGATGAAAGAATCAGTTAACTTAAAGATAGAGCTATTGAAATTATTGAGTCTGTGAACAGAAAGAAAAAAGTGAAAAGTGAACAGAGCCCAAGAGACCTATCAGACACCATGAAGTGGATCAACATATGCATTGTGCATGTGTTGAAACAGGAGAGAGAGAGAGAGAGAGAGAGAGAGAGAGAGAGAGAAAGAGGCAGAAAGAATATTTGAAGAAATAAACAAAACCTATGGGATACAGCAAAAGACGTACTAGGAGGGAATATTATAGCTCTAAGTGCCTATATTGAAAAAGAGGAAAAACATACTATAAATGACCTAATGATGTACCTTAAAGAACTAGAAAAGCAAGAGCAAACCAAACCCAAAATGAATAGAAGAAAAGAAATAATAAAGATAAGATCAGAAATAAATAAAATTGAAATGAAGTAAACAATACAAAAGATCAATGAGACAAAGGTTTTTAGAAAAATTAAATGAAATTGGCAAACCTTTAACCAGATTAAGAAAAAAAAAAAAAAGAGAAGATACAAATGAAATTAGAAATAATAAAGGAGACATTAAAACTGGTACTGCACGAATTTAAAGGATCATTACTAGCTACTATGAACAACTGTATGCCAATAAATTGGAAAACCTAGAAGAAACGGACAAATTACTAGACACATACAATCTACCAAGATTGAACCAGAAAGAAATTCAAAACCTGAACAGACCAATAAAAAGTAATGAGATTGAAGCCATAATAAAAAATCTCCCAGTAAAGAAAAGCCGAGGACCCCATGGCTTCACTGCTGAATTCTATCACACACTTAAAGAAGAGCTAATACCAATCTTATGCAAACTATTCTGAAAAAGAGGAGGAGGAGGGAATACTTCTAAACTCATTCTACAATGCCAGTATTACCCTGATATGAAAACCAGACAAAGACACATTAAAAAAAAAAAAAAAAAAAAAAAAAAGAAAAGAAAAGAAAAGAAAAGAAAAGAAAACTACAGGCCAATATCTCTGATGAATATTGATGCAAAAGCCCTTAACAAAATACCAGCAAACTGAATTCCATAGCACATTAGAAAGGTCATCCATCATGACCAAGTGGGATTTATCCCTGGGATGCAGAATGGTTGAATATGTGCAAATCAATCAGTGTGATACACCATATCAATAGAATGAAGGATAAAAACCATATAATGGTTTTCAACTGATGCTGAAAAAGCATTTGGATAAAATTCAACATCTCTCCATGACAAAAACCGTAAAAAAACTGGGTATAGAAGGAACATACCTCAATGTAATAAAAGCTATGAATGGCAGACAGATTCATAGCTGGTGTCACACTGAATGGGAACAAACTGAAAGCCTTTCCTCAAAGACCTGGAACACGACAAGGTTTCTCACTTTCACCCTGCTATTCAACATAGTACTGGAAGTCATAGCTAGAGCAACCAGACAAAAGAAAGAAATAAAGGACATCCAAACTGCAATGAAAGAAGTTAAATTATCCTTGCTTGCTGATGATATGATCTTATATTAGGAAAAAACCTAAAGACTCCACAAAAAGACTATTAGAACTGATAAACAAATTCAGCAGTGTTGCAGGATACAAAGTCAATGTACAAAAATCAGTAGCATTTCTATATGTCAACAGTGAACAATCTGAAAAATTAATAAAGTAATCTCATTTACGATAGCCACAAATAAAATCAAATATCTAGGAATTAACCAAAGAAGTGAAAGAGCTCTACAATGAAAACTATAAAACATTGACGAAAGAAATTGAAAAGGACACAAAAAGTAGATAACTCATGTTCATGAATTAGAAGATAAATATTGCTAAATGGCCATACTACCCACAGCAATCTACATATTCAATGCAATCTCTATCAAAATACCAATGACATTCTTCACAGAAATAGAAAAAACAACCCTAAAATTTATACGGAACCACAAAAGATCCCAAATAGTCAAAGCTATTCTAAGCAAAAAGAAGAAAATTGGAGGAATCACATTACCTGACTTCAAATTATACTACAGAGCTTAGTAACCAAAACAGCATGGTACTGGCCTAAAAAGAGAGAGACAGGCTGATGAAACAGAATAGAGAACCCCTACAGAAAACTCATTTTCAACAAATGTGCCAAGAACACACGCTGGGGAAAACATGGTCTCTTCAATAAATGGTGCTGGGAAAACTAGATATTCATATGCAGAAGAATGAAACTAGACCCCTGTCTCCTGCCATATATAAAAATCAAATCAAAATGGATTAAAGGCTTAAATCTAAGACTTTAGACTATGAAGCAACTATAAGAAAACACTGGGGGAAAGTCTCCAGGTTATTGGTCTGGGCAAAAATTTCTTGAGCAGTACCCCATAAGCACAGGCAACAAAAACAAAAATGGACAAATGAGATCACAGCTAAAAAGCTTCTGACAGCAAAGGGTACAATCAACAAAGTGAAGAGACAACCCACAGAATGGGAGAAAATATTTACAAACTACCCATCTGACAAGGGATTAATAAGAATATATAAGGAGCTCAAACAACTCTATAGGGAAAAAAAACCTAAATAATCTGATTTTTAAAATGGGCCAAAGATTCAAATAAACATCACTCAAAAGAAGACACACAAATGGCAAATAGGCATATGAAAAGGTGTCTGTTTCATTGATTGTCAGAGAAATGAAAATCAAAACTACAATAGGATGTTATCTCACCTTGGTTAAAATGGCTTATATCCAAAAGACAGGCAATAACAAATGCTGGAGAGGATGTGGAGAGAAGAGAGCCCTCATACACTGTTGGTGGGAATGTAAATTAGTACAACCACTATACAGAATAGTCTGGAGAATCTTCCAAAAATGATAAACAGAGCTAACATATGATCCAGCAGTCCCACTGTTGGGAATATACCCAAAATAAAGGAAATCAGTATACCAAAGAGATATCTGCACTCCCTTTTGTTGCAGCATTGTTCACAATAGCTAAGATTTGGAAGCAACCTAAGTGGCCATCAGCAGATAAATGGATAAAGAAAATGTACATATTCACAATGGTGTACTACTCAGCCATAAAAAAGAATGAGATAATGTTATTTGCAACAACATGGATGGAATTGGAGATCATTATGTTCAGCGAAATAAGTCATGCACAGAAAGACAAATATCACAAGTTCTCACTTATTTGTGGGAGCTAAAATTTAAAACAATTAAACTCATGAACATAGAGAGTAAAATGATGATTACCAGAAGCTGGGGAGGGTAGTGTTGAAGACAGAGGAGGTGAGGATGGTTAATAGGTACGAAAAATAGAAAGAATAAATAAGACCTACTATTTGACAGCACAATAGGTGACTACAGTAAAAAATTACTTAATTGTACATTTTAAAATAACTAAAAGATTGTAATTGGATTGTTTGCAACACAAAGGATAAATGCTTGAGGGGATGGATACCCCATTCTTAATGATATGATTATTTCACATTGCATGCCTGTATCAAAACATCTCATGCACCCCATAAGTATATATACTATGTACCCACAAAAATTTAAAAATTTTTGAATTCTAAATAAGAAAAATAATATTTAAAGAAATAATAGCTGAAAAAGTTCCAAATTTGATAAAAAGCCATGAATCTACACATCCAAGAAGCTCAACAAATTTCAAGTAAGACAAACTTAAAAAGACTCATGCTGAAACCTATTATAATCAAACTGTTGAAAGACAAAAACACAGAGAGAATCTTGAAAGCAGAAAGAGAGCAATGCCTTGTCATATAGAAGGAAGTCTTCACTGGATTATCACCTGATTTTTTCTTCAGAAACCATGGAGGCCAGAAGAGAGTGGGATGACATATTTAAAGTGCCAAAAGAAAAAAAATTCTATATATGAGAAAACTATTCTCCCAACTGAAGAAAAAACTAACATATTCTAAGATAAATAAAAGCTCATGGTGTCTCTACCACTAGACCAACCCTTCAGGAAATGCTAAAGGGATTCCTTCAGGCTGTAGTGAAAGGACATAGAGAGTAACTCAATGCCACATGAAGCAATCAAAATCTCCAGTAAAGGTAATAGAGAGGTAAATATGAAACCAGTATTATTGTTTTGGGTTTGTAACTCCTTTTTTTATTTCCTACATAATTTAAAAGACAAATTTATAAAGCATAATTATACATCTATGTTTATGGGTACCCAATGTGTAAAGATGTAATTTCTGACAACATAAGGAGGAGTAAATCCCAGTGAATACAGATCATAAGGAGGAAAAAAAAAGAGGAGCAGAGCTGAAAAGGAGCAGAATATTTGTATTCTATTAAAGTTAATTTGGTATAAATTTAAACTATATTGTTATAAATGTAGGGTCTTAGTTGAAATCCCCATGGTAACCACTAAGAAAATATCTAAAAAAAATACAAAATGAAAGAGAACAGAATCAAAACAGTACACTACAACAAAGCAATTAAACACAAAAGAAGGCAGTAAAGAAGGAAATGAACAAAAAGATAGAAGGTATAGATTTTCTAAAAAATAGAAAAATGGCAGAAGTAAGTCATTCCTTATTAGTAATTAATGTAAATGAAAATTGATTAAACTTTCCAATCAAAAGGCAGAGGCTGGCAGAATGAATTTAAAAACATGATTCAACTATATACTGCTTACAAGAGATTTACTTTAGAATCAAAACTGAAATTTATAAAATATGGCTGAAAGAAATAAAGAAGACCTAAATAAATAGAAGGACAACTTGTGTTCATGAATTGGAAGATTTACTATTGCTAAGATGGCAAAACTACCTAAAGCTGTCCACAGATTCCAAGTAGTCTTTATCAAAATCCCAACAACATGATACTGGATAATGATAGACATATAGACTAATGGGCTAGAATATCCAGAAATAAACTCACTCAACTATAGCCAATTCAGTTTTTGGAAAGGAGGACAAGGCATTCAAAGATCCCTATAGGGAAAGAGTAATATTTTTAGCAAATGGTCCTGGGACAACAGGCTTTCCACATGCCATAAAATGAAGTTGGATCCCTTGCATCATACACAAAAATGAACTCAAAATGGGTCAATTACCTAAATATTAGAAGAGCTAAAACCACAAAACTCTTTAAAAAAGATTTAGCAATGGGTTCTTCGATATGACACCCTTAAAATTACAAACCTTTTTGTATCAAAGGACAGTATAAAGAAAGTGCAAAGACAACCCAGAATGAAAGAAATATTTTCAAGTGATATATCTGAGAAGGGTTTGGTATCTAGAATACATAAAAAACTCTTCCAACTCAACAACAAAAGGACAAACAACTTAATAAAAAATAAGCAAAAGACTTTACTGGACATTTCTCCAAGGAACACATACAAACGGTCAATAAGCACATAAAAAGATGCTTGACATCATTAGTCATTAGAGAAATCAAACCATGATGAAACATGACTTTTTATCCACCAGGATGGCTGTAATGAAAAAAAAAAAAAAAAGGAAAAAAAATGTTAGTGGAAATGTAGAGAAATCGGACTTCTTGTTTTAATCCAGTCATGTTGCTGTAAAGGAATATCTGAGGTTGGGCAATTTATAAGGAAAAGAGGTTTATTTGGCTCACAGTTCTATAGGCTGTACAAGAAGCATGGCACCAGCATCTACAGCTTGTGAGAATCTCTGGCTGCTTTCACTCATAGTGGAAAGCAAAAAGGAGCCAGCATGTGCAGAGACCACATGGTGAGAGAGGGAGCAAGAGAGATTTGGGAGAAGTCAGGTTCTTTTTAACAATTAGCTCCCACAAGAACTAATAGAGTGACAACTCATTACTGCAAGGATGGAACCAAGTGATTCATGAGGAATCTGTCCCCATGACCCAAATGCCTTCCATTAGGCCCCCATCTGCAACATTGGGAGTCAAATTTCAACATGAGATTTGGGAGGACAGATATCCAAACTATAACACTCCTCCTACACTGCTTGTGGGAATGTAAAATAGTGCAGCCATTGAGGAAAACAGTCTGGTGGTTCCTCCCCAGAAATCTCATTCCTAGGTATATACTTGAAAGAATTGAGAACAGATGTTCAAATAAGCACACGTACACACTTATGCACAGCATCACTATTCGCAATAGCCAAAAGATAAAAGCACTCTAAATGTCCATGAATAGGTAAATGGATAAACAAAATGTGGTATATACATACAATGAAATATTATTTAGCTACAAAAAGGAATGAAGAACATGCTAGGATATGGATGAACCTTAAAAACATTATGGTAAGTGAAAGAAGTCAGATAAGAAAGATCACATGCTATATGATCTTTTTTATAACAATAACTGGGTTGAAACTTTGATTTTAATGGGGGATCCATGCCTTAAGTTGTCAATATATTAAAGAACAATTTTCCAGTGTGCTGGGGGTTGTGGATTGTGATATTTCCCAATATGAAACTACACATTGCACATTCTGCAATAATTTTTTTGGGAACTGTGTGATGAGCAAGAATCTCTGGTTGTCAAAACCTCCCAAGTGCAGTCACTTAAATTTAGAAAAGGTAAAATGTATAATATGTTTGCAATAAATATATTAGAAATCCTTAACTTTAAAGCAACATATATGACTACAAAATTTGCAAAAAGCAAACCGCATTTCTAAAAGAAAATAGGTCCTTTCTAAATTTTCTATTTAAAAGCCAATATTAACTTTACAATCAGAAATAAAAAACAAACAAAAAAGCTTTGATAATGTGCAGGTCACCTCCAGCACTTTCCATGGCATTTATTTACAAATATGAGTCATTCTGTTGAGATCTCTCTCACCAGGCAGACATATAGAGAAATGGTTTTTAAGGATCATTACTTAGGAAGACTTACCTACAAGAAGAAAAGTCAAAGTAAACATTGTACTTAGAATAATCTTCCATGATCGAGTTACCCTAAAAGAATAAAAACAATGATTAGAAAAAGAATTTAACAACATCATGCATTTAACTTGGACTTTAGCCACTACTCCCAAGTCAACAAACTTACTTATTCTCATTCTTGTTTAATCTAGGTTGAGTCTATGAATTACTTTAATTTCCAATCCACTATTTTTTAAATCAAGAGATCATTTTCGTGATGATACACACTTACCAGCATATATGTGAGCACATAGATTTAGTCATACCTCTCGCTTTCACATATGGAATGCTTATGCTAGTATACGTCTATTTATATTCTTAAATGCTTATAAGAAAAAAACAAAGGCAGTTTTCTAGAGGTCTCAGATGTAGAATTAGACGAAAAAAGAAAAAAAGAAAAATCAGGCTCTAATTTTAGGGAAATTCGGTATTAAGATAAAAAACTATGACAATTAACAAATATCTGATAAAACTCTTTGAAGTCATCATGACCTTTTTTCCTACTCTGTTTTGAAGTATAGTATGCTATACAAATACGATTTGTGTTCTTTTCTGTATAATTGTACAGCCCAGTGATGCTTCACAGAATGAACACATCCATGAAACCTCACCCAGGACTGGAAATTGAGCACACTCAGTTCCGTGGACTGAATTGCACTCCACCTCCCAACACAAACACACACCACACACACATTCATTTGTTGAAGCCCTACCCTCATTGTTACTGTATTTAGAAATAGGGTCTTTAATTGCTAATTAAGGGTAAAAGAGGTTATCAGTGGGACTCTAAACTAGCAGGATTGTTGTCCTTAGAAGAGGTGGAAGAGAGACTAGAACTTTTTCCCTCTTTGTGTAGTCAGAAGAAAGGTCACATGGGGACACAGTGAGAAGGCAATCCAGGAAGAGAGCCCTCACCAGAGACCAAATCAGCTGGAATCTTGGACTTCCTAGCCTCCAAAACTGCGAGAAAATAAATTTCTGTTGTTTCAGCCACGAAGTCTGTGGTATTTATTGTTGCAGCCTGAGCAGATAAATACACCAAGCACATCAGAAGCCCATCTTGTGCCCTCATCAACCCTATACCTCCCACCTCTGAAGGTACCTGCTCTCCTGAGCTCTATCCCCATTAAGTAGGTTTGCTGGGTTTGAACCATCTATAAATGGACCCATGCGGGTATGGGCCCTATCTGTCTGCCTCCTGTTCCTAACCTTATGTCTGTGAGAGTCAACTGTGCTGTTGTGTATAGCTGTGGTTCATTCATTCTTATAACTGTTCATTCATTCTTATAACTGTATTATAACTGTATAATTCTTATAATATTCTTATAACTGCATTCTTATAACTATATTTCATTGTGTGAATATACCATGTGGTTATCCATCCTAACATTGATGGGTGTTTGGGGCTATGATAAACAATGGAGTTATAAATATTACTACAAGCAATGCAGCTATGAACATTCTTGTACATGGTTTTTGATGAAGACAAGTATGTATTTCATTTAAGTATATTCTCAAGAGAGGCATTGCTGGGTCATAGGATACATGCATAATCTGTTGCAGTAGATTTTGCTCAGTTTTACAAAGTGGTTGTAATGATAACCTTTTCACATCCAACCTTTTAAAAAGCCCTAAAGGGTGGATGGGGAGGGAAGCTAAAATGATCACATTAAACTAAGGCGAAAGTTGTAAACTTCTGGATAAAGTATTACAAGTTGGCAAACTAAAAATTTCTACTTAAAACATACGAAAAATCACATTAAGATGGATCATTTGTTAACTGTATTCACTAGAGTGGGCCTCCTAATTCTCCCAGAACATAATCTTTAAGTAGCTTATCTCCCCTACATACAGCAGTCATGCCTATTAGCCATCCAAGAGTGTGAGACAGTGTGGAAAGCAACTAAGAAGAGAATTTTCTTAACTCTCTTCTCTCCAGGGAAGTGTATTCTGAAACCTCTTCCTATTAACTATTATTGGAGATGTGGAGAGCGGTAGGGGGTCCACTGTATAAAAAAGTTGTTCATAGGTCAATTATGGTCTATAAGAGCTCTTCTGGTGGACTGCGTTAAACGAAAATTATCACATTGCCATATTTACCAAAGATTAATTCCAGTGTTATTTTTCTTTTCTACTAGAAAACTTGCTGCCAGGCTCTGCATTGCAAAATTCCTTTGGTGCTTTCGCCCAGCCAGTGGGATTCTGCCATTTGGGGCAAGCATATTTTGTTATTACTGTGATTTTGAAATGCTGCTCTACTTGTACTAATAACTTTGTAGTATTCCTTTTATTTTTATTGACAGTTTTGTTTATGTGCAAGTGCTTCATTGTTACCAATAGGAAGGTTATTTCATCACCATTCATAATGCAGATGGCCACCATGCCCAGCCAGGGCATGGACACGCATCTGCCTCTCTGCTTCAAGGGCCTAATTGTATCATATGTCAAACCCACTGAATAATACAAAGCCCCCCACTCCATATGCCTACCACTTTTCTATGGCAAATCTGGATGTTTTTCTGTGTTTGCTTCAGTGCTTTTCTAATAAAGTTCTTGTTTTTCCAGCAGGCAGCACATGGGCAGGGAATTTGTAAATAGGTTTAGGGTCTTTGGATTCCCTACTATAATAATCCCCACATATGTTCTTACTAGAGGAAACAGGGTGATTCACTCAAAATATGCATCCCCTACCAGAGTCTTTAGTCAATTATCACCCAAGAGTGTAATAAATGCCCCTCTGCGCCCAGAGTCCTGAGCCCGGTGCTAAGCTCTGCATATCACCAAGACTATACAAGTGAGGCCAATGACCAAAAAAAAAAAAAAAAAAAAGTGAATTATCTGGATGATTTTAAGTTCCTGCTGCTGCAGCTCATTGTTTTAAACAGGATGACTTTCCTTTCTTAATCCTTGTCCCCAGTCTGCTGTTATTAATCCAGATACTGTTGACATAGAAGTATTGTGATCAAGCGTAAGTACTGTGATCAAGAGAAACCTTCAAAGGAAACTATTTGGAAATGATTTTCTCTATAAAGGAGGAAAACACTGTCTGTCAGGTAACAGGTGAACAGGACACAAGTGACAGATGTAACACATACAACCTACAATTTCAGGCACACCATTCTGCCGTGTTTACCTACCCATTCGCATCAGGGTTTTCATCCTCTGATAGCAAAGTGCTGCCACTGGTGCTACCGCTGGCGTCTTCAGAGCAACCTCTAAAAAACATGGCAGCCCTTCTTGCCTTTGCTTTTCCACTCATGATCCCCTACCAAAGAACAAACAGCTGGTAGGATGAAGAGCAACATTTGTCCTCATTCCTATTTTATTAAAAACATGAAGCTATACATACAGTTTTTAAATTTGTTTTGTTTAATGTCTTCTTCCTCCACGGGTGTTTCTTCTTGAAGAAGGAATTTTGTAAAGCTTCTGAGTCTTCTGTTGCATCATCCTCCGTGACACCTCATAATGCAGATGGCCACCACGTCCAGCCAGGGCATGGACACGCATCCGCCTCTCTGCTTCAAGGGCCTAATTGTACCACATGTCAAACCCACTGAATAATACAAAGACCCCTCGTCCCATGTACCTACCACTTTTCTATAGCAAATCTGGATGTTTTGCTGTGTTTGCTTCAGTGCTTTTCTAATAAAGAAAATATCAGAAATATAATGGTAGACCCCCAGGTATCCTGAATCTCAGCCCTCTCTCTTATTTTCCACAGATAACTACAGCCTGAAACTTGATATACTCTATTCTCATTATTTTTGATACTTTACTATGTAAATGTGTATCTACAAATAATATTGTTTTCATGCTTAAACTATAGACTAAATGTTATGCCACTCTTGGTTTTCTTACAATATTATCCATCTTGAGACATTAACTCCACTCAGTTTAATTGCTCTATGGTATTTCATTATATATACATCACAGTTCATTTACCCATCCTTCTATAGATGTATACTTACGTTGTTTTCAGGTTTTTTTGGCAAAGAATAATGCTTATTGCATGTTGTTATATACACATCACAAGGTTTTTCTAAACATACACCTAGAAACAGAATAGTTAGGTGGAAGGGTGAGCTGGTTTATTCGGGGCATAAATTCTAGGATGACAGTTATTTCACTCTCAGCACTTTGGAGATACTACTGAATGGCTTCGTGGATTGATTGTTGCTGATGAGAATTCTGTCTGATCTTCATTTCTCTTTTGTTTTGGACAATTTGTCTTCTCTGGTAGTTTTTAAGATTTTCTGTTTATCCATATTTTCCAGTTGTATATTAGTGTATCCAGGTTTGATACTAGTTTTTGTTTTTTCTCACTTATAACTCAGAGAGTCTTTTCAGTTTGGACACTTGTGTGTTTTTTCAGTTCTGGACTATTTTTCAGCCATCAGGTCTTCAAATATTGCATCTCTGCCACTACCCCAATTTTCTTAGGATGGTCCACCTATTGACACTTGTGTCTTCCCTTTACTTTCCATATAGTTCAACTGCTCCTTCATATTTGTTTTTGCCCTTTTCTCTTTTTACTTATGCTGATTCCTGGGTGAATTTGTAAGTGTTATTTTTCAATTTACTATCTATTTTCTGAGGGTCTAGATCTATCCCAAGAAACCCCCAAGTTTCTACTTTTTTACCTATTGGTCCAAAATTTGAAAGTTACAAAATGGTACATAGCAAATATGGCCTTTCCACCCTGCATTTGCCTTCTAGCTATTGGTTCCCCTCCCTCCTTGCATCTATGCTACCATTTATACTGTTTCCTTTCAAAGGTGTGATATGCATGCACAATATGTGACATTGTATTATATATGTAGTATTTTATATGTATATTTATCTCTCCACATTCTTAATGGTAGCTTACTATAAATCGTGGTCTCCATCTTGCTGCTTTCACTTAAATATTTATCTTGGAAGTTTTTCTGATGGTTTGAGATAATCTTCCTCATTCATTTATGATTGAATAGTGTTTCATTGGGTGCATGGGCCATAGGCTGTTTAGCCTGTCTCATATTGATGGGAAGTTTGATATTTAAAATAATGTGCAATAGTAATCTTGTATTTAAGTTATTATCCATATGTGTGAATATATCTTTAAGGATATATACCCAGAGGAGGAATTTCTGGGTCAAAGTCTATGTGTATTTTTCAAGAATAAACCCGTACATATACAGTCAACTAATCATTGATAAGTTTGCCAGGTGTACACAATAAGGAAAGGACACTGTAGTCCCTTCAATGAATGGTGCGGGGAAAACTAGATATTCACATGCAAAATAATTAAATTGGACACTTATCTTACACCATACCCAAATATTACCTTGAAATAGATAAAAGACTTAAACATAAGAGCTATAACCATAAAATTCCTAGAAGAAAACAAGAAAAAATCTCTTTGACATTGGTCTTGACAATGACTTTTTACATATGCATCAAAAGCACAAGCAAAAATAAATAACTGGAACCACATCAAACCAAAAACCAAGAAGCTTTCGCACAGCAAAGGAACTTAATAGCAAGAAAACAAATAACTGAATTTAAAAGTTGGTAAAAGTCTTGAATAGACTTTTTTTTTCCCAAAGAAGACATACACATGGCCAACAGGCATATGAATAGATGCCCCACATCATTAATCATTAGGGAAATGTAAATCAAAACAACAATGAGATACCACTTCACTGCTGTTAGGATGGCTATTATAAAAAAGATAAGTAGCTAGTGTTGCACAAAGTGGTACATGCCTGTAATCCCAGCTACTCGGGAGGCTGAGGCAGGAGGACTGCTTGAGCCCAGGAGTTTGAGACCAGCCTGGGCAACATAGCCAGACACCATATTTTAAAAAATTTGTTAATCTTAAAACAAACAAAAATATGTAAAGATAAGTGTAGGCAAGAATGCGGAGAAAAGGTAACCCCTTGTATACTGTTGGTGGGATGGAAATTGGTATACTTATTATGCAAAACAGTATGGAAGTGCCTTAAAAAATTAAAAATAGAACTACCATATGATTCAGCAATCCCACTTCTGGGTATATATATCCAAAGGAAATGAAATCAGTGTGTTGAAGAGATAGTTGCACTTCCATGTTCATTGTATCACTATTTACAAGCCAAGATATAAAAACAACCCAAGTGTTCATTGATGGACGAATGAATGTGATTTATGCACACGCACGCACAAACACACACACATACACACACGGTGGGTAGGGGGTGGCGGGGGGAGAGAGAGAAAGAGAATGGAATATTATTCAGCGTAAAAAGTAGGAAATTGTGTTATCTGTGTCCACATGAATGAGCCTGGAGGACATTATGCTCAGTAAAATAAACCAGACACAGATAGGTGAATACTGTATGATCTAATTTATATGTGGAGCTTAAAAAGTCAAATTTGTAGAAGCGAAGAGTAGAACGGGAGTTGCCAGTGGCTGATGGGCAGAGGGAGTGGGAATGGGCAGATGTTGGTCAAAAGGTGCAGAGTTTCATTTACAAGAGGCATACATTCTGGGGATCTAATATACAGCAGGCTGACTACAGTTAGCAATATTGTACTACATACTTGAAATGTGTTGAGAGAGTAGATCTCAAGTGTTCTTACCCCACACACACATACACAAACGTAACTAAGTGAGATGATGAATATGTTAATTAGCTTGATTGTAGTAATTATTTCACAATGTAGATGTGTATAAAATTAACATGTACAACCGAAACATAGAAGTTTTGCTTGTTAATTATATCTCAATAAAGTTGGAAAAACTCCAAAATGTGTCATTTTCCTCGGGAAAAATTTCAAACAAAGAAAAAGGCCATTATTTTCACATGCAGAGCACTGCAGAGTCAAAGAAATCCAGTCTCTCTCCTGTGTGAAAGAAGATGATCTTGTTTCTCCAACGAGGTTGAAAACCCAAACTGCTATATAACATTGAAATACATAAATATATATCAAAAAAGAAAAGCTTGTCTTTAAATTACTCAGATTATCAGAAAAAAAGCACAAAATGTAAAAGCCCCTCCAGTTTGTGAAACCCTGGTGAGAGTGTGTTGTATGTTCTAGAGGGAAAGACTGAACCCACAGAGGTGAAGTTTGGAGAGGGGAATTATACAAGGGTTTTCAGCTGCTTGAGATAGGAATAGACAGTAACAAGGCAGGGCAAAAGTGGAGAGATGGAAAAGCACAAACAGAAGATGTATCCTGAAAGTTTAAATAAACCAGCTTCAGGCAACAACATGGGTAAACCAACAGAGACCAGGCAGGAAAGAAAGACCAGAGGGCTTTGAAAAATCCGAATTAGTACTCAAATACATTTTTCCTCTTCTCAAAAAGGTCATAAGCAGGAGATTATCTGCATATCTACAAGTAAAGTGAATAAAATTAGGCACAAAGTGAAAATATATGTCAGAGAATGTTGGATCTTTCTAAATACTGAGGGCCATAATGTGGTAGAAAGATGATCATGTCATAAAGTATAGAAAATAAAGACATTGAGATATTCTCGTTATAAATAAATTATTCTTGTATCATGTTTTAATTTGCATGGCATCATTACCTACATTCTTATCTGATCTGGTTTGCAAATATTTGTAATTTCAATCACACGGCAAAAGTCAAAAATTGGCCAGGCATGGGGGCTCATGCCTAGAGGCTGAGGCAGGAGGATACGTTGAGGCCAGGAGTTGAAGACCAGCCTGGGTGACATAGCAAAACCATTGTCTCTACTAAAAAATTTTAAAATTAGCTAGATGTGGTGGTGTGGGCCTGGAGTCCTAACTACTCCGGAAGCTAAGGTGCGAGGATCTCTTGAGCTCATGAGTTCAAAGCTTCACTGAGCCATGATCACACTAATGCATTTCAGCCTGGATGACAGAGCAATATCCTGTCAAAAAATAAAAATAAAAAATAAAAATAAAATGAAAAGTTTCTTCTAAAGAATGATAACACTTCATCATCACTCAACTTATGATTTCAGCTAGTCAAGAAGGTTATCAGCTTGGATGAATGCTGTACTCTTCTGTTAATCCAATGGAGAAATAAAGATGCTCTTTGGTAATGACAGCTCCAGTTATTACGATCAATTAAAAAATATAACCTTCTTGACTGGGAGCCGTGGCTCATGCCTGTAATCCCAGCACTTTGGGAGGCCGAGGCGGGTGGATCACGAGGTCAGGAGTTTGAGACCAGCTTGATCAACATGGCGAAACCCTGTCTGTACTAAAAATACAAAAATTAGCCAGGTGTGGTAGCACGTGCCTGTAATCCCAGCTACCCTGGAGGCTGAGGCAGGAGAATTGCTTGAACCCAGGAGGTGGAGGTTGCAGTGAACCGAGATCGCGCCACTGCACTCCAGCCTGGGCCACGGAGCAAGGCTGTCTCTAAGTAAATAAATAAATAAATAACCTTCTCTTGACCATACAATCGCTTAGCT